TTGCTTATCCCTAAGCCCAGATATTTGTATTTATCTGTTATCACTAGCGTGACCTCCTGTATTCTAAGCTCACTACCTTCATCATTATTAAAAATCATGACTGCTGATTGTTCCTTACTGAATCTGAAATCAAACCTATCTCCCTCATTACCGAAGATGCCCATCAATCTCTGCAAATCTTTTTTGTTGTCGGCCATTAGCACTATATCATCTGCGTACATCAATGATGGTAGTGCCTGTTCAATAAGTTTTTTTTGTTTGAGGAAAGGGAGGTTGAAGCCCAGTCCACTTCCCTCTAATTTGGCCTGTAATCCTTGTTGTTACGTCATGAATAACAAGAATGACAGAGGACACCCCTGCCTAAGCCCCCATTTCACATCTGCATGCTTGGATACCTAATTTTTCCAATTTATAACTGCTTTGTTACCTTTAAAGATATCCTTTAAAAGATTAGTGACTCCATCGTACACGCCTAGTGTCCAGTATTCCCCACAAGTCCTCTTGGACCACGCTATCATACGCTCCCTTCATATCCAAAAATGTTAGCCACAGGGGCCTGTGTTCCGTTTCTGCTATTTTGATCCATGGGGTCAGGGAGAGCAGATTGTCTTCCAACAACATGTGTTTCCGAAACCCATTCTGCAGTTCCCCCAGCACCCCCTCATCTCCTATCCATGCTGCAGTTTTCCCTTTATAAACTGCATCGCCAGCCTGTTGACCACTGATGTCACTGTTATAGGACGGTAATTGTTTATGTAAGCTTTGTCCCCCCTTTTTTATAGGTCATGCTCATCCTGACAAGTTTCCATCCATCGGGAACTTCACCATCGCTTATTATTTTGCTCGCTGCCTCTCTCAAAGCCTGCTTATACTTCGGACCTAATGTCTTTATCAGCATAATTGGAATGCCATCTGGGACTGTTGATGTACTACTACAAACCATCTTCTAAGCCCTTTCCCACTCTCGTTCTGAAAATGAATCCATTGCGCCACTTGATTCATTCTTGTCTATTGTTGTGCATAAAGCTCTTTTTCGATGAGATTTTTCTGTCACCCTTGTTTTTATACAATCAATAGCTTTGTCCCCTTCTAGCCTATCACTTTGAGCTGTAGTTATAAACCTCTGCTCTAGGCTCGTCTCATTTCTTAGGGAGTTTGGATGGTTCCAAATTTCGCAGCTGCCTTTCTATCTTTTTTATGTACTTCTGCCAGCCACTGAGTTCCCTTTCTTCGAATCTTTTCGTTGATCAGAATGCATGCATCCTTTCTACAGCTTAGAAAGGTTTCCCTTGTTTTCAACATTATCTGTCGGTTTCCCCCACTGCTTAGCATGTCTGTGTTCCCTAGAGGCTTCCTGACATTTTGCTATGGCTCTCTTAACTGCCCCATCCCACCAACTCTTGGGTTTGTGTCTTCTTTTCTGGGGTAACTTGCCACGTGCCTTAGCAAGCTCTGGCTCAAACAGTCTAATTAAATTTGTGTATTTCCGCACAGTTTTCTTGTCATCATTGATTACTTTCTCAATTTGTTCAGTAGCTATTTCTATTTGCCTTTGTGGATAAAAATTTTCCTGTAGTTGCTCACCTTGTCTCTTTTTCACTTTCACTGCTCTTCCAAAACCTAGCTTGATACGTTTGCCATCACTACCCAGACGCTTGCAGCCACCTTCATTTGTATGCATTCCCCTGAGATTATCATACATCCTGTGTGCAGGGCGTAATCTATCGTCGACTGCAGCATTCCTACCTCCCATGTTATTTGCCCTTCACACATCTCGGTACTGTTGCAAAGGATCAAATTATGCCTTTCACACATGTATATGATCCTTTTGCCTGTTGAGTCGGTATACACATCTATATCTTCTATGTGTGCATTAATTTCTCCTAGTATAATTATCTCGCACTCTCCTCCTAACTCCCTCCTGAATGTCCTTTGATATACACATTACCATTGCCTGGTTTTCCTATCTGGCCTTTGCTCCCGGCCGCAAGTAGATAAAACCAAGGAGTGTCATTTTGCCCTGCCACTTTCTCTTTTAGCCATAAATGTCCCTTGCACTGCTGGTTGACCCTTTGCCTGTCTGTACTTTTATGAATGAATGCCCCAATACCGCGCCCCTTTCTGCTGCCTTCTGTTATATTACAATATTCCCACGTGGGAGTGTCATTCAGCGCCACCTGTACCATGGAGGCGAGTGTGGGACACTCTTAATGAACTTGTTTGGTGTCACGCAGCACATGAACTCAATACGAGCTGGCAGCAGACCAATAGTCCCTCATATACAACCTAACAGCACCAAGTGTGCCAGTACGAGACCCTCGTTAATGAATGTGCGAAAGAAGTGTATACTTAAGGGCTCGTTTTTCCGTGTTTTGACACAATATTATTGAGATATAACAGACAATAATGCCAAGGAATGTATAGGAAAGTTATTAGACCAATTGTATTATAAATATGAAGAAACAAATGAGGGCAAAAAGATAACTTGCCGTGAGCATAACCGAACCTGCGACCTGATATATATATATATATATATATATATATATATATATATATATATATATATATATATATATATATATATATATATATATATATATATATGGCTGTGCATTTGTAGCGTGCGTAATGTGCGTGCCATGTCTTCTTGGATATCAACTCCCGAGCGAGCTAGTGTTCGCACGAAAACCGTCTTTGAAAGCACATGACGTTGTTTTTTAGAAACGTAAGAACATGGATCGGCAAACAAAAAGAAACGATAAGTCCTGTCACAGAAGAAACTACGGTTTGTCTTACCTCGAGATACACTGGCCAAGGTATACCTCCGTTTTGCATTAAGGCAAATGACATGCGTATCAACTTTTGATGGAACAACAGAATTCCATCAGATATGTATGCAATCAGCAGCTCTAGTCACACTGTAGTTACCTCAAACACATTTAAGAACTTGTCTGTAGTAGTGTATCAACGCAACGCTAAAGCTTTAGGTAAAGCACTCTACACACGAGCTGTTGTCTTTTTCAACCTCGGGCTCACCAGACAGATTCATCAACTTGAAAACTGAGGCGCTTTGCCGAAGGGCTCTATGAACCTAATACAGACTTCCTCTCTGAAACGCCCTTACGGCAAGGTCACTAAGATAGAGAAATGGTCACTGGGATGCTCTAGTGGCAAGAATATTGTTTTAGTGGCTTGCTAAATTATTGGTGCCATAAAACACACTATAAATTATTTAAGTTACAATATAATGATCCAGTGGCAACAAACATGGCAGCACCAAGTCCCAAAAGCAACAAATGCTCTTATCAGCATTGACAATTGCCGACTGATTTGTTAGCATAGGACGCCTAAATTTATGAAGAGAGCTATAAAATTATTTCGCTAGAGACGTTCACATATTTAATAGGAAGATTGAGGAAGTGATGGTGTTGGTTCTTTAACATACAGTTTAAATGAATACATAGATGGCATGACTTTGAAGCCAAAATAGTTAGTCAGGTAAATGAATCTTATCAATTTCAATTTTCACCACGTGCAAGTAACCATTGGCGCCTATAATATGAGATCTGAACAGCTAGAAAATTAGGTTCTGAAATACCGAGAACAAGCTACGTCTACACAATTTTTATTCGTTGTCAAAATTTTAACTGTTATAATACCAATTCTTCGGAGTATGATTAGCCAGCAGTCTATTCAGCTGTTTACATAAAACAGAACTAGCAAGAAGTCGATGTGAACCGTCGCATTCTTGTGATATTCTTGGCTGTATTCCTGGTCACACTTTCGAGTTTTGCCAAAAGCTGCTGTGCTGCCTTTCTGTGTGCGAAGGACGGTGATGGTGAACGGGACGCTAATCTTCTTTTAAAACAAGAAGCTGGAAAAAATCAATGATTGAACAGATTATGCAGACTGCAAAGCGTCAAGAGGACAAGCTGCACGAAACAGTGAACACTACGCAACATAATTTTGTTGTGTAGCATCTGCGTTCTGTTAAAAGTTCGTTTTTCAGAGCCCTCTGTGCAGCTAACGCTTCTAACGTCGCTAAATTATGCCATCGTGTCAAGTAATGGTTATTGGGGTATTAAAACGCTTATATTGCAGCTTTCCGCAAAATCGCACATTGCTCGTTTCTGAAAGCAAAGCTTTGAAAAGGCAAGAACATTTTTTAACACTGCCAACTTATTCATTATGCAGTTTCCTTTTTTATACGAGGCCATGGAACCGAACACGGTGTCTTTTTTTCTAGTATATCATAACTGACAATGCTAAGTAATCAATTCTAATTATGTTTGGGTACCATAGTAAGTAAGGTCTTTGTTTTACGGTGGTGCTACTTTACCTATAATTTGTTGTTTCATTCCTTATTCTATGCTTTATTGCACACCCCTTCCCCCTTCTCCGCTTTCTCTAGCATCTTACATTCCGGTAAGTTTTAATGGGCTATCGCTCTGAGGCTAAGTCACATCTAGAGAGCGCGAAGATAAAACGAGGAGACCGGGGAAACAGATGGGACCAAGTGCTAATGGTATAGTTTGGCTTGGTACCATCTGTTTTTTTCTCTGTTCTTGTTTCTATCTTGTTTCGGCAATGATTATCTGTAAGTGCCCTTTCTGGTGAAAAACACCATGCTTACGGTTGTGACAAACCAAAGCAAGAGAAGGAAGGTGGCATTTCTCATCGTGACGTATACCATCGTAATGTCTAGAGTAAAAGAAGCAAAATACCACAAAAGGGTAAATAAAGATGTAAACAACCAGCATATTGCTGGCGCTGTTAACCTGTGTAAAGATTAGTTCGATAAGCTAAATGACCTAACCATTGCAGTAATGCCTTATGCAAACGTGATGCCTGAAGCCAAGCTGCACGAACCACAAGGCCTGCTTGTCGTGAAATATTCCTTGTTCATGTCATTCCCTCGCAAAATGCTCTATTGTTCTTCATTGTGGCCGTCCGAAAAAAAAAGAGAATTTATGAATTTTCATGCATTTTGTGTCATGCAGGAACATCACTAAATGGTCCGCAAGGCGTTCCATCAAGCAGCTCTCAAGCTTCCGGTCAAACGAGCAAGTCTGACACGAATGTGGGTTCGTCAACTCCAGCAGTGTCAGCAGGAGCAGAGCAAGCGGGTGGTATGAATATATTAGGTGAGACTCTCCTTTCAACGTCTGATCTAGCTACATAACTCGTGAATACAGTTATTAGGGTGACGACGTAGCGCCAACAGGCAGAAAATGAGCAGATCACACTCGCCGGCATGGCTATTTGCGGGGCTGACGGACGCTCCCACGTTTAAAATCGCATGTATGCCACATAAAGTGACGGCTGATAGTCATCGCGGTAGCTCAGTAGGCAGAACATCAGGCGTGTTATTTGGAAATCACAGGCTTGATGTCTGAGCACAGCAAATGTTATCTTTTTCGCTTACTTTTATTTCTTCACATATCATTACAAAATAGCATGCCCTATACGTTTCATGTCAGTGTTTTCTGTTAATTCTCATTATTATTGCGTTAAAAAAGATGACTCCTGAAAATTTCATCGTTTTTCTTCCTGACACGTGGTACGTAATGTAAGAATATCGTAGTAAATTACACAAAAGTTCAGCAATGTTCGTATTAGACGCGCATAATTACATAAAATTTCGACAAAGTGCACCATTCATGCTGTCTTCATTGCACTATTTAAATATATCTCGGTCTCGCAAGTATAGTAAGTGAGAAATTTTTGTAACACAAGTTCTTCTCTTCGCAGGCGCAGGTCAGCAGCAAACGACGACTGGCTCAGTCCATATCTCTGAAAGCTCTAGCAACACGCAGAACAGTCAATCGTCTGCGAGTCATGGACAGATTTCTCCGATATTGGTTGGGTCTACGGGCTCAGGCCTAGTAACCAATGAAGTTGTTACAGGCAAGTCACATTTTTAACATTTTGTCTGTACTGTTATCGACTGTAATTCTGTATCAATATTTTTTTATACTTGCTTTGTATAAAGTAAAAAAAAAACGGGTAGCCGTAGATTATTAGGTGGTTTACAGGACCAGAAGTAGTAAGAATAGTGAGCATGAAGGTTCTTTATTAATCAGAACAGTGTAAGAAGGAGAAGTGCGATCGAGTAAGTGAGAATATGTAATGATCGACGTAATTTCTGATCGGCCTAAACCAGCAATCTGACTAAGCTGTGCTAAATACGGCAAGGAGGAATCGAGCGCAGCAATTAATCCAGTCGCGAAAATATCACCGACCTTCACCTTCATCGTGAGTTATACTTCGGAACAGCTGTTTAATGAAAAGGTTTCTAAACGAGGGGATGGTTAACAGTTTACTAGTTAACAGTTACACACACAGCTATACTGAACCCTGCACTAGCATTCGTATTGCCGAACTATCCTAAACTAAGGCACAACATATGCGTCTAGTATTCGTGACAGCAGCTGAGCACTCGCCACCTAGCGGCCGTGCCTGAAAACGGCGCTAACAGGGTCGACTTTGAAAGGAGATATGTTGCCGCGTGACACGCGTTGAGGAGCAGCCGCCTATATATACTTCTTTTAAGTCCACCGTGCCGCTCGGGTGAATCCGAAAAGAAAAAGCAAGCGATGCCCGAAGACGAATGCAGTGTGGTGAAATTTGTGGCATCGTGGTGTAAAGATGTCAACATATCGTTACGTCCCTTCCCGAAGCATTCAGAAGGGCTCAAATTGAAATCTTACGCATTCAAAACAATGAGGTGGTCAGTAGGGTGATTTGTTCTAATCGATTCGGTCGTGACGATGTAATTACCTTCCGGGAGTACATCATTATTTACCGTCTGTGCGTTCTTGTGAAAGTTCTAGGCATGGCGTGTAATTTCTAGCAAGCGCCATATGAAATTTGTTGCGTTACGTGTGTGACAATGGGTTCTGCATAGTGCATATGTTTTTTTGTGTGCAAGTCGTAGCACTCTCTTATCTCAAACTAGGCTGCCACAGTTTCTCTCCTGAATATTTTTATTTCAGAGGCGTATGTATATACACGCACACATACGCACGCGCGTAGGTCACGCGGGCGTATCGTGGATATATATATATATATATATATTGTTCAGTAGATCCTCCGTGAGCTGTCACAACGTGGTTTATTTCTACGTTTCATGCTACAAAATGGGTGCCATAAAAGCACACTCTAAAATATTTAGCTTACAATACAAGGATCCGGTGGCAACTAACATGACAGCACCGAAGCAAAAAAGCAACAAGGTGTTCTTATCAGCATGGACAATACCGCTTGATTGGTTAGCATAGTACGCCTCAGTTTATGAAGAGAGCTCTAAAAGTTATTTCGCCAGAGACGTTCACAGGTTTTGAAGGAACATTCAGGAAGTGATGATGGCGCGGTTCTTTAAATTATAGCTTAAGTAAAAGCATAGGTGCCACGACTTTGAAGAAAAAATTGTTAGTCACTTATATGAATCTTATAAATTTCAATTTTCACCAGGTGCAAGTGAACGTTGGTGCTGATCATGTGAGATCTGAACAGCTAGAAAATCAGGATTTGAAATACCGAGAACACGTTACGTCTCTATAATTTTTATTCGTTGTCGAGATTATGACTCTAATGAGCGCAATACTTCAGGATATGATTTTTCCCCACTACATTCAGATATTTGCATTAAAAAAGAACTATGAAGAACTCAATGTGAATTGTCAAATTCATGTGATATTTTTGGGTCGATTCCGGTGGTCACACTTTTGCATTTCACCGAAAGCCGCTGTGCTGCTTTTCTGTAGTGAAGGAAAGTGATGGTCGACTTGACGCTATTCTCCTTTTAAAACAAGAAGCTGGAAAAGTCGCTAATTAAACAGATTTTGGCAGAGTGCAAAGCGTCAAGAGGACAAGCTGTTTAGATAGAATGTTTTTCAATTTCGAGTACTTTGTAATCAACTATGGGAGAGCATTCAGCCATCCCGCTAAAATCTATGGTTATAGGCTATGAACGTATTTAACGCAGCCTCTACAGGAGATATTGAACACAAGGAAACTTAATTTTGTTGTGTGGCATCTGCGTTCTGTATAGTGTTTGTTTTTATGGCCCTCTACTAAAATATGCTATTGTGTCAATTTAGGGGTACTAAGCGTACTAAAACGCTTATAATGCAGCTTTCTGCGAAATCGCAAATTGCTTTTTTTTTTCAAAGCAAAGCTTTGAAAACGCAGGAAGAATTTTTAACACTGCCAACGAATTCTTTACGGTGTTTATTCTTCCATACGAGGCCACGAATCCGGACACATGGTCTCTTCTTTTCTAATGAATCAGAACTGGCAGTGATAAGTAAAATGGAATTGCAGTACAACCCACCTACTACTCTTTTATAGTAAGATGCATCCAGACTGTTCTGCAATTAGATTAACCTCTCTCTTACAGGCGGGCAGCAAAGCCGAACTACTTCTGGGGGAAGCAGCTCACTAACACCTAACCATATAAGTGGTTCTGGTACATTGATAGGTAATGAGACTGTTTCATCAGGTACTGGTGTGTCTGCAGGCACGATAACTCAAGGGCAGCAGCAACAAAGAGGTAGGTCAAGTTGCTAGTAATTTTTGCTAGCCAGTCAAGCGTATTAAGAGTTCTAAAACAAATACTAAAGCTTATATGGGGAAGAGAACAGCGCTTCGATTTAAGTATTAGTGCACTTGACCTTGTAAAAGACTACGTTGATTGAGGACAGGTAATAACCACAGAGGTGAACTACGGGATTAAAGAAACTAGTAGAATAAAATAGGGGTGGCACACACTCTGCAAGCACACTAAAATCATGACTGGTAGATTACCACGATCCTTCAAGAGGAAGGTATATAACAGCTGTATCATTTTCGGCCATCTTAAAATATTTTGCCAAACAGCAAATACTTCAACGCGCAGCAGTGGCAAACATGCTGCTTAGCTCAAACATCCAGGACTAGCTACAAGTGATCAGGCAAGGCGAAGATACCGCTAACCCTACGACTCTTAGCTGCCATCTAGGGGAGAAGATAAATTCCTCCGAAACTTGCCGTTTCAAATAAAGTTGTTTCTCTTTCTCTCTCTTTCTATCTGAGCGTGATCCTAACCCAAACCTGGTCTCGTTTCTTCTTTTATGGTGTGAGCGTTCTTTACAATGTTACCATATGTGAAAATAGTCAATATTTTATATCGTCTACATAAATTTTCAGTAAATGGCCTCAGATATTCCTTCAAGTGATGACAAAAATGTATATATCACAGGGTCTGATCAACACAACTTGCAAAGTGGCACGGGAAGCAGTTCTCAAGTAAACACTGAAGTAGCTGGCTCTAATATGAGTGCAGTCCAGCAATCTTCTTCATCACATTGGAACCACATGACAGGTGTAGGGATTTCAACCGGGTCCGGGCATAGAAGGTGTGAGTAAAACATCAATTTATTATGTAATGGAGGAAATTTTATGTAGATAAAACATTCACTTAGCCTGCACTGCGTCAACATCAGCTAGCATAGCTCTTTTGACATTATAACAGCCAAACATTTTGCTTAACTAAATTGTTGCTTAACAGATGCCTAATCGGCGGTGATCAAGAAAACTAAAATTCTAACAAGGGTAGCTCACGGTAAATCCATCCCGTGGGTGTCCGAATACCGCTTGCCCAAGCATTTTTCTTTTAGTGGCAATTACCATCCACGTTTATAAGTCTACACTAGCAAATGCTGGCAACCATCACTTTAACTTGGGTCTTCTGTCTTATTGAATTCAGATAAGAGGCCCCTTGAAAATCTAGCTGACTTGAGGGTAGCCAGATCGAATCTCGTTCATGGCTGCCACAGTTCAGCGGGGGCGAAATATTGGTGGCCTGTGTGCTCATATCGGGGTGCACAATTGGGAACCTTAGATTGGGGAAATTTACGGCGTATGCCATAATGTTATCGTGCTGTTTGGATGGTTAACATAAACAATAAACAATAAGTTTAAATGTTTCTCTGCAAATAGTGCTGAACATTGAGACGAGTGTGTAACTTATATCAAGTGGTTGTTGAGACGTTCGGAAGTCACTTTTCTGCTTGCGTGATGGTTCTTGACGAAAATTTCACGATTGCAGCTGGAGTCTGCCAGGCTGCGGTGCACACGGCCTACTGCTTGTTCGAGGCGTATGCTATGTACGCCTACGACTCCTATTCTGGAACTTGCTTCATGATATACGACTGTTCGCTCTACGGAAATAAGTTTCCTACCCTAGAGGCATGCAAGCGAACGTGCATACGAGGTGAGTATAAATGTACGGCGAAAACACGTTCTTTATATAATAAATCATTCCCCTTTACATCAATTATTGGGGTTTTAGCAGGCATCAATGTAGGTCTTGCGAGGCAACGTGAAGGGTGAATTCACATGCGTATTTTGTTCCTCCGATGTATAAGGCAGCTGTTTTCAATGTGTATTTCCTCGTAGCGTTGTTAATAAATCTATTACAAAATACTCATAGATTATGAAATGAATTCGCGCTACGCGACCGTAGAATTCATCCTTGCTTTTCGTAGTCCTTCCGAAAGCTTGCAGCACTCCGCACAACTGATTGGGTTTATGCATCATACAAAGCAGTACCTTATCTAGTGCAACTATGTAGGTGCAATCAATTAACACTGCAGAATTTGTATTACCGTGCGCGTAATGCTTTTGAACATTATGGTCACTTACTACTTTAGACTTACCTCTTCAGACACGTAAGACTTGAGCGCGCATCGGCTGCACAACTGTTCCCTGCCCGCCCCATATATGTTGGCGCTAGATATCACGTTCGAAATTCAGTCAAGGGCGTCCTTACTTGGTTTTCACCTAATGAGCGCCAGCGTCAACGTCACCACCAGTGTAAGCGTTAGCGCCCGCTGCATTCTGAAATAAAATACAGGTTTGTCATTCATTCTGAATGACAGAGCATACAATCACGGTTAAAACAAAGCAGTAGAAACAACACAAACGTTGACTGAGTCGAAGGTGTGGTTTGCGGTGTCTTGATTGTAGTTTCTGTTCAGTTTATTTATACCTGGTTTTTATAACTACGTTTCTTGGAGCTAGGAAAGAATTGTCGTTTAAAGGGCTCGCTTTCTGATGGACTTCTATTACAACTTAAATTCACTCTACGCTACTTCACATGGCAACGAACAAATGGTGGCACTAGGAGGTAAAACAACGCACGATGGCGCAGTTCCCTAATTATTAGGTAGAAAATTCGTATTAAATTTCGGTACTTTCGAAACTTAGATTCATACACACGTAGTGCAGAACTAATGCATGTGCCCCAAAAGGTGTAGAAACGTTTAGGCCAACTACTGGTCATTTCATGATAGAACTCATTGTTCATCAAACGTTATCCTTCTACAGGATTGGAGGGAAGAGAGGGGGAGCTCAGAAGTCGCGGGACTGCTATCTTATTTATTATTCCTAAGGGAGTGTAGCCTGGAAACTTAACAAGCCCCCTGTACTTGGGTAAAACAAGTTGTCGCAGATCAGGTAACATAAGCGATGGTTTATTTTCAACATCACCTGTAAATAATGTATATTATTATATGCTAGATAATATTAAACTTTGGTATTTTTGGTTTCAAGTGTATGTTAACAGAACTGATTGTGGGTAGAGAAAACCTCCAAACTTACGCCATTAATATGCACGTTGTACACGCAGGAGGAAGGCAACCGCAGCTTCATGCACCTGACATACAAAAAATTCTTAACCTGACGCGGCCGTCCACTGAGATGGTGCAGTCTTCCGTCAAAGGCACGCAAATTTCACAACGACCGTCGGGTATGTGAGAGTAGAACCGCTGAAATGGTTCTTTTTGGCATTCTTTGTAATGAGGTATAGCCATGAAAATAATGGTGAAAAAAACAACCATGAAATATGAAAGCAGGACCGCGTATTTACCTAGTAGTACCTGACTAAAGCAGCATCTTTCATAGTGTAAATTGCAATACAAAATGCACAAACTCTCACACTTTTTTTTCTTCTATTTTATAATTTTTATGTACGTGAACACATACGCAATCTTACTGCTTTATGCACTTAGTTATAAGTAAGAGCAAATGTATGAAAACTAAAACCACAGAGAATGAAACAATTTCTCTGCATGAGGAGTAGTCTCATTTACAAAGGTTGCAGTCACTATAGCTAAATAATGTTGGCACGCTTCTTCACCCCTTTTATGAATGCAACAAAATACCTGTTAGCATACCTTAACAGCGTATTCGATGAAAAAATGAAATAAAACGTAAGCGTGCACAAGTTGCAAGCCTATTAAACCTTAAAAACTGGGGCAGCGACGGCTTTAACATGTTTCAGTTCTGATTACTTTTTTCCAGAATGAGCTAGATGAGAGGTTCATGTTCTATTTACTCTTGTTGTTTTTGAGGATTGGTTGTATTCCACGCGAGTAATTACTAACGTGAGTGAATGCGCCTATAGGAAAATTGCTCTGCAAAGAACTTTAAATTTTTTATGTGCTCTGTCTTGAGCAGCTTTATTTGAAAGTCCGAGTGCTTGTACAGCTCATGAGATCTTTCATATGCCAGCGCAGCTGTATAGTCAGATATTGTGTGGTCGCTTTTGCACTGAATGAATAATTGATGGTGGTGAGCATTGGCATTTATTGTTGTAATAGTGTTTATGACCATTTAGGTGTTCACATTGTACAAGTGGGCAAAACTGCCCTATGCTTCAGGTCGCCAGAAGGCATGCTTGCAGGAGGTCACTGAAAATAAGGTGCTGCTTTTGCAGCAGTACCACTTTTGTGAACCTTGTCATGCCAATAAAATTGAATAACATTGAATTGCTGATATGCACGAACAACGTACCTCGGTACAAAAAAAAATCTAAAGCGCTGGCTTCGTAACTGTTGTAACGTCATTTGTGTAGGCCCAGCTCAAGTACCATCACTGCCTGGAGGCACACACATATCCGGCTCGCAAGGAAAGCTGAACACTTCAATGCAACAGACAACCTCGGCGCAGTCAACGGTAATTTCTTCTACAGGAACATCAGTAGGCCAAACAGAAACCGGTAAGCATAATTAGTATTCTTGTGGGCATGCTTTTGTTACGTGAAGCTTTTAAAGGTATGAGTGTATGTAAAAGTCTGATTTTTTTTATTTCACCAGCCAAAATTTCTTCATCCCTCAATGATCTCAAACTTTATCGCAATACGTTTATGTAATGCATGAGTTTCAATCAATATATAAAACGCCTTAGCATAGGTTCCTTACCAAGTTCACATGCTTTTCAGTGTATCGCTTAACATTTTTGATGGTATACAGTCATTCTCACCAGTAAATAAAAGGTATTCTTGCCCCAAAACACCACCTATATATTTACTACTTTTCGCTGATTCCTAAATTATAACTAAATTCGAATAACATGCTACGCCTACATCCAAAAGAGCGTCGGTGCTTAAAAAAGGCCTCAAGCAAACACGAATGCTGTGGCATAGTTAAGCATACAAGATCCGTAAGGTCACTTTCAAACACAATCTTAATATTTACACTACACAATAATCTTATGCAAAATAGATGGCGTACTATATATGCCTATATATTTTATTTTATACCTTTATACATATGATATATATATATATACTTCTATATTACCTATACATATTATATACCGCATTGCTTTCTTCAGCAAGTCTTCGATTCCCTGTTTTCAATAACCTCGTATTGTTGAAGATGGCTTCCTAATAATGAGATGACTCTTCTCGCGGTTCTTAGGTTCAGACACAACTTCGCCTAGTCTTTCTTGCAATTTGTTTAAAGTGTTCGGCATTTTAGGGGCCCTGCTTTTGGTCTATTTGTATATCTAATGTGGCCTGACAAGATCGCGCTCTAATTCAAGCACGCAATAAAGGCATAAAACAAAGCTAACAGTGCTAAAAATTGCCCGAAACTGACGAAAATGTTCTGCGATTGTACAGATACCAGAAGCACCAAAGAATTATTTCTGATAGGTTACCTAATATTTCAATTTTTTTTAAATGAGCCGCTGGCTCCTGGGCAGCGCTAGAGAGTGTGGCATCACCTGGGAATAACCTGGCGTAACTTGCTACACATACCAAGTATCTCGACTGCCAGAACAAGCACAATAATAAAACCAAAGTAAAACATATCATAAATGTTGGCCGCCAAGCTTGGGAATCTTCCTGACAAGGTTTTGGTATGAGTGTGGGAAAACCTGCATGCTTACCACAAACGTTGACGTCATCAACGGTTTGGCAAACTGAGCAGGGAGCACTCTACGAACGTCGATCGCTGGGTGATTGTGATGTGAACTTCTTAGTGTTTTACTGCAGTGTAGCCGAATTCCACACATTGCATAGAACACCATCATTGCAACAAAAGAAAGACATTGTTTCCATTGGGCAATTAGACTGCCTCACATTTTTAATGGTCAAATACATATGATAAGAACGGTAAGATATGAGTATTTACTGCTGTCGTGACATTCCATTTAAAGTAACATATATAGATCCTAGCATCCGGCCTAGTTAAGAAGCGGTAAAAACTGTGACAGCGAGCCCAAATCGTTGTGACTCGCACTGGCAGCAATGTGTGGGTACACCGACGAGGGGAGGGTTGGTGAGGGCGGCCATTAATTACGCGTCTCCGCATCTGATCAGCCAGGGGGATATGCTTCCTTGTCTGGGGCACTTTTTACGCGACCAGGATTGATCTGCTGTCTTGCGTGATTTTTGCTCACCAGCCACATGCTATGCTCAGAGTTGACAGATGTAGCACTCCTAATGGTGCAAGATTGCAACTCATTCGGGCAGTTAACTCAATTTTTATATCGTTGTTTTGGCATTCCACCTTTCTTTTTTGCATGGGGCGATATGTATTGAATTATTTTCCACTTAAATCGCAAGCACCGAAAATTCTTTCTTGAACAATAACTACTATAAACCATATTTCTGCATTTCATACGTGTATGCTGGCCAATATTCATTGATAGGGTCCACGAGCCAGCAGGCTTCTGGTCAGGGCCAAATTAGTGGTGGTCAAGTGGCTACGCAGTCATCAGGTGGCGGAGGTGCTACAGTGACCCAATCAGCCCAAGGTGAGTGATACTGGTTAAATTTTGCCTGTCTTGATGTCGCTGTTTCTTTGTTTAATATTGTGTTATAGCTATACCACAATACGAGAGTGTGAAAATTTCTAACGCGATATTGCCCGGTCTTCAGTGCGGCTCATAACACGCGGTACTGTTCTTGGCACAGAATTGCTGCAGCTGTGTTCTGTAAGTTCAACGTTGCTAGACTTTCGAGCGCCGCAATTCAAGGTATTTGGCACAAAATATCGAACTTGACTAAGCGCGCATGCTTTTGAGCATACGTGAAAATCACTAGTGAGATTCAATTGAACTCGTTTTATAGCACAAAGGAGCAGTCAACCAGTTTAGTCTCATCTATTCAAATGGCAAAATATTGAGGCAATATGAGAAGACAGCGTTACATACTTCATTCAGCAGGAATTTTGATCACGCCGTTGTGTCATCGTGAGTGATGGCATCGTCGTTTGAGAGATGAAGTCATGTTGTCTGATACCTAATATTCTAGAACGATGTGCATTAACTAACTAACAAACTTTTGTGGGTCGAAGAGAGATTAAGTAAAGACCGTGTGTTTTGCAAAGAGTTGTTCTGCAACACAACCACAATATTTCTTGAAGCTACTTGAAAACGAAAACGCTATATGAATTTTATGTAGTGAAAAGAGTCTCCCTAACGCTTGTAATATTGCATAAGGTAAACAGAATAACGCTATGTGCCAAAACGGAAATACAGTAATGGGAGGGCGTTCTATCGGCCCCCCAATTCACTTATCGCCAGATGCAAAAGCATCGAGAAAGTGAACAACTGCGCAAGTTCCCACGTTGCCTTACGTAACAGTAAGGTGATGTGTGAACTTTCGTTGTTGAAAAAAAGGGGTACTTATGGTGTAGAGAGCACTTATCTACTTTGCGTGGAGTAAGTGTTTTAAGATACACTCAAACAGCCCATTTTACTTGCACATTTGTCTGTTTTCTAACGTCGTGTTAAGGCATGCCCCAAGACTGGAAGTGTGGCCAGCAATTCAGAAATCGATGCGCGTGAAGTCCGATGCGACGTCAGCTTCTACTATTGAAGGCCAAACTCCTGCGTTCTTGAAGCTTTTGTCACAAGTGAAGAGTACGATATTTTTTTACATGTGCAGGTTGACGCTCTGATTGCCTTGTGAAAGATATGTAGATATGTGGTGCAGTGGAAAAGTAGCTATAAACAAAATTGAGGAGAATGAAGTGAGCACAAAAATGCGAGCAACATGTAGAGACAGCGCACACGTAGAATGCAATGCGTAACGTAACACATGTATACTTCATTGCATATTTTTACTAAAAAAAGACCCTCATTTTCAAACCATCTGAACAGTTAGTCGCAATCCAGGATTTTGTTTAGCTGAGCCAGCATAAGAATAGTATATTTCATATGTTCATTTTTCGTAAGCGAGCCTGTCATGAGACCAAGATCACTGCTTAGACTATGGTTTCTCAAAGTGGGTTCCGCAAACAGTAAGGGTTCAACAAGACCTTTGCCGTGGTTCGGCGAGCCACAGATAAAAGTACTCTGGATTCAGAATCCCTAATTCTCTTGGATGGCGAAACAAAAGGGCGATGAATGTGGGAAATAGCTATTACTATATGCACTAGTGTAAATAAGCACATGGCGCGAAGCAGGTGTGCTCGTGCTAAGCAGTAAATTCCACCGGCAGTTCCTAGCAAGCCCGACTCCCCAAACGTGCGTTTAAGCTAATGCACTTAAATTTTGGAGCTTCTATATTAGCCTCAAGTACACTTTTTCCGGTTTGAAGTGCACGGGCCACAACCATTTGTAAAGAGATTTAATTTTGAGCGGACCTCCTTGACACTAGCTTATCTGAAAAATAGGTGCACGAACCGGCTGAATCCGGCTGCTGGCGTGCGACTGGCCCTGGCTCTTACGGAACCTCTAATCGATTAGTTCGTGCAAGAAAAGTGAACCCATTCACATGTCTGTGATTAAGCGCGCTAAGCGAATCCTGCAGAATAAAAATACCTTTCCCCTTCCTTTTCACACCCTTGCTTTTGTATTGAATGCACGTAGCCGGAACCCACTAAAAAGTGCTTGGACAAAAATGAGGCGAGAGGGGAGAATCATTGACACCTCACGGCGCTTGGCAGGGCTCCCTGTCTTTCCACCTTTTTTTCCTCCTCCTTGCAAGAGTTCAATCAATCGATCGAATCAGTTTATTTCTTTTTAGTAGAAGCAGTACAGGACTAAAAGCCGGAGAAGTTCAATAGGTCCCGACCCCGCAACAAGTTGGCAAAGCAGCAGGAATGACAGACAACCGTGCATAAAGAATACGAAATATACCTTACATGTAAAAGATCGCATCAAGTAATAAAAACTTACAAAACAAGGCACTAAAAATAGACAGAGAATACAGAATGTTGGTTGTAAGGAACTAACAAGCAGTAGAACCCTTGGCTTGGAGATTCAAGTTCCTCTATGTATTCAATATTGCAGCTTTCATGCTTACAGCCGAAAGAAACTTCTTTTTAAATATTAGTAAGCAGCCAACTACTACTCCCTTCAAGGTAAAAAAAAGAGCATATCAACTAAGAGGAGAAATTTTAGCTCTACAAAAAAATGCTCTGATACCACACGCGGAGCCGCATAAAAGCAGCAAATTTATATGTATCTATTGTAATGAGGCAAATAGACAAAGCGCCTGATTGATGGCCGGTTGTTTTATATTGATTTGGCCTTCTCGTCTTCTGCTAGTCCAGAGCGAGCCCATACCGTTCTCTATATTCAATCGACGGCATTTGCGTTTAGAAAAGCCATAAAGAAGTCCGATATTCAAGGCCCGAAAGTGATTTCCCCATGTACAGAGTAAAATTATATTTTAGCTCTCAAAATATGATTAAACTATGACACTTGTGAACGTAAAGCACTTAGGTACAATGATAGCCACAGGAATATTGGTTAGCTAATGATTATATCAATCTACTAAGGTAATAGTTAAGCGTTCAGCACATTGTTATTTAAAAGCAGTCAATTCGTACACAGAGAAGCATGATGGGGCTGGCACATGATGATTTCATGTATTTATACACCCATAAAACAATACTGATAACACTTCAGTCTCGAAAGTAGACTCTTCATGCTATGCGCAATTGTTTTTTTTTATTTACTCAATCAGTAAGTTTCTTTTACTATTTTTCTAATTTTCTGTGAGTTTTTATGAGCCTTTCCTCCTATTTTTGTGTAATAAAATCCATACTTCTTGCAATACTCGGAATCAATTTCTAATATTTTATGTTTTGCGCCTCTTATCCTAATATAAACTGCTTGCGTATTGTGAAGAACACGAAGCGCAAAGGTGCAAGATCTCTTGAGGAGAAGGCAGGGATACAGGGAAAAAGAAGTCGCCTTTTTCGTGGAGTACTCAAAAAGACCAATCTGCTGTTGTTCTCACAATCTTCGTGTTACGACCTCTGTTTGGATGTTAAAATACACTTGTATGGATTTTAACGGTCCCCTAACAGTTTTCTAATCATAACTAGAGGGAACTCTGGCACTGCGATCATTGTGATGGCATAGGAAAGACGGGCAGTACACAAATTATCTAGCCTTTGTGCTTGCGGGCATCAAACGCACTGGTCATTTTGTCCATTGTAGTATCTTCGTTTTGTAATGAATAAAAGAACGGACCATTTTGAACTACGTGACCCGATTTGAATTTGGCGTGCCTAAGATGTTAAGAATGTAAAGAGCAACTGATGGACATCTGCTGACTGCCGTCTCATGACAAAGCAGCTTGAAGCCACTCGGGTCGAAATCGAGCCAAAATGCAAAGATTAGTCAAATTAGTTTTCCACCCATCATTCCAATGCTGACTGAAGCGCCGTACGTAGTGTCTCCCATACACGTTACTGCTAGAGTTCCTTCTGCTGTACTTATATGAAACTTGGCATGCTACTTTCAGAGTTCCCTCTGTTGTATTTATATAAAACCTAATTAATTGCTCAACATGAAGACGAACTAACAACTCAATATTTATTTCTTTAGCAATATGTACCTATAGGGTAAGCCTATTAGCTCTGTAATAGTTTACGCATGACGCCTACACATTTGGTGTGAGACAACAAAAAATAAATTTTGCCATGTAAAAACTAGGGCTTGAGTGTAAAGGCCACCTGACTAAGTTGGCACTGCCCAAATAGGCACTGGTAGGTCAAACACTTTCCCATTGGTTGGAGCTATTCAGATGGGCCACATGAAACATATATTGGTCACATAACAATAAGCGAACTGCAACATCTGATTGATGACAGGGTTCGTGGTCGACTATGCCGGATTTGTTGTCGGAGGACTTCAATAAATATGCACCAACTGCAGTCATCTGCACTGTTTAGATACGAAGCCTTTTGGTTGGGGCAAGGCCTGAACGTATGATGAACTAGATATAAAATGTGTTAAGCAGTTACAATGCACGGGAAAATCTTCGTGAGTTAGTTTTAAGCATGAAAAGTGCGAATAATGCTTATGTTGAAGTCATTCTCAATGTGACTGCCTGAGCTCGGTGGAGCTTCTGATGTGGAGACGGAAAAAATATATCCTGCCAATTTTGCACTGCACACGAAATGTTATTACAGTCATATTTCTTTACAAAACCATCACCGAGAGGAAATGAAGAAATGTAGCCCTAATATTATAAGTCTGTTTGGCTATTGACAGTTCAACAATAATTTAATCATGTTAAGAACATAAGTATATCTTGTCGCATAAAACACGTGAATGAGAAGGCAACGTGACCATCTTGCACTTGCATAACGTTAGTGAGTGCTTTGAGATAGTAAGCGCTTCCTTATACAAACGTTGCCTACAGCTGGGCATTTGTGCATGATACAATGTTTTCCATTCCCACTCACCATCGTGTCTGGCATTTCAGAGCCATTGGTTGAAGATATTATCATTTTTACAAAACTGTCAACCCTTGAAGTCAACTTTGTCTTAGTTTACAGACCAATATTTCGCAAATTTCTGCTTCCTTGTATTATTGCACACTTGAACACATGATTTCAATATTTTATATTGCAACAGAAAAACAAGAAAGCGATCAAGAGGTGGCGATGGATGAAAAATGGTTCAATGAATTAGGTGAATCAAGCACATTGGAACAACAACAGAAGGTTCTGAAAAAGATGAACCTGCGATCCGTAAAAGTGACAAAACCCAAATTATCTCCATACGGTAAGTAGTTTTTGTGATGCAACTGGTAAAGATGAATTGCGACATTATAAAGCCTGAGTATCGCAATTTGTATAACACTTATGTGCCCACTAAAGCTTAAAGATGCCGCGAGATATAATTTCAAGTTCGAGATCTCTCCTTGACTGGATAGCCAGGTGTGATTAAGTTTTTGAGCGGAGTATGAATTGTGTATGTTGCATAGAAGTCACTTTATTTTAAGAGAAAACAACGTAAAAATGCCCAAGAAAGCCTTCAGCACACGGCGACATCGACAGTACGTTGTCGCGTTCAGAGGATCCTAAGCTACGCCCAAGGCGCTGAGTGACGATGCGCTATAGTTAAGGCAGCATCGATCATCTCAGCATTGTCATCGTGACGCAGAGTTGTGGTACGCCTGGAAGCAGTTTTTCTTCCATTGTCTTCGTCGGTTTCTCTCAAATCATGCGTCTTCGCCACGCCGCATCAAATGATTTGCTAAGTACTCGCCAGCGTGCGGTAATTCACGAGGGGTACAGGGCCCGTCCGAAACTCTTAGGCGCAGCTGCCGCGCTTCAAAGAACAACAGGTGACGCTTTCTCGCTGCTCGAACTGATGCAGGTCTCAAAATTATTGCGAAGCTGAGGATCAAAGAAATTATTACCACCCAAGCACTCAGTAGAAATGATTATTCAGCAAATCTGAAACATATGACCTCACTGTTTGGCAGTGCATTCTACCCGACGAGGCCGTGAATATTTATACAATTATTGGTGAAGAGTTCGCGCTTCCTAATGAAGTAAGACATGCGTTTCGCTTGGGCTTACCAAGGTGTTATTTCGCATGCCGCACATTGTGCGTCGCATGATCATGGTCATAAAAGAAGGTAATTGGTGGTTAAATGTGTTTCGCATTGTGTTAATCACTGTGGTTGTTCTCGAATGACAAGCGCTCATAGACGTCGTCACCGAAGCCTATGTGCCGCTAAAGAAAACTACCGCCAAAAGCTGGTGTTCATCCGGCGAACGCGCTCCCGCAATCACACCATTGACTCTGCAACGCGGCATTGGTGCAAGCGTTGGACATCGCAAGTTAGCTCAACAGCGTGGTTTACACGACGCACCCACCACCAGCACTAGAATACCCGTTCGCGATTTGAAGGCTGATGGATCGGGGATACGCAGTTACCACTGGAACGCGGCTGTCTTGGCCTGTTTTTGTGCGCAGACTGCGCATGGCGAGCTCTCTCAACTTGCCCCTTTTGGTGTTTTTCTAGAGTTGTCTGTCGCATGCACGTGTGGAAGGTTTCGGGAGAAACTCGCACGCGATCGGTGCCTCGGCTGTGATAGGACAGATGAATTACGTCACTCACCATGCAGCCAATGGCACGCGTGCTTGAATACGACGCTGTGAACGACACAAATGATAACATATTCAATGAAGACCGCACGTAAGACTTCTACTGGACTGTTTTTCTTTTTCGCTAGCCATGTACAGCTTTCGCTGCAAAAAAGAAACACGACGTTGCAAATCGCAGTGATTTGCACCACCAGAGTTTTTTTTTCATTCATGGTAGACACTGATGAGTGATGACAGTGGTGATAACAATGGTCATGACAAAGACATGATCGCATGTGCATGCCTTGCCGACGAAATATCAGCGGAAAGTCACATCACTGCTCTCAGCACTCCAAGTTTGGGAGCTTTGCATTCGTTTTTAATCACACTCGGTAACAGTCATACCACTCAATATTACCAGTGGTGAATCGTTACTAGAGGGTCAATAACTATACGTGGACCCTAAAAACGTGATATAAATAAAGTTGATGTCGCTGCTTTAAAACAAGTACGACGGTAGGGTGCTTCATGGACAGAGCTTATTTGGTGCTTTCTAAAGATGGAGACAATGAGTGGACGTGAAGCTCTTGCACGTGTCGTTGCTCAGCCATCTTGTTTGGCTGCCGCAACACTCTTACTCATTTACACCTGCAAGAAATATATCTATTTCCAACAGAAATTTCTCAGTGTTTCTTTTCATGTAGCTTACTACTCCGCATCCCTAATTTCGCATATAGATATAGGTATAAATAACACATTTCGTACACATCTATCTCATGAAGACCTGGCTCTAGTCAAGATGTCAATACATGTTTACTCTCTTCGCCCTACTTGTTGCCGAGGTTACGCTACATCTTCGACCCAATATATCTATACACAAACCTGTGCTGCGTGAATAAAAAGACGAAGACACCAACCGCAAACCAATAAAGACTGTAATAAGACGTTCCGGTCTCAAGAACGAGAGCCTTGTTCAGATCATATATTTGAGCGCTTGTGATGGCATGATCATTTATTACGAATGTTCAGGGAGTGAATGTTCAGGAAGTGGCGCATCGTATGGCCCCGGGCGCCAATACTGTTCACTCACGCATGCAGCTGCGCAATGTACGTGGTGCGGCGGCGGTCGAATACAATTGAAGATGATGATTGATTTCTTGAGGAAAGTATTGATACAAACAGGTGCAAGACTGCCGGAACAGAATTTCAATAAAATTTTTAATTTACCAGTTGTTGCGCATCATACATTTATCTCTGCGTAATATTATGTGCGTCTAAAGCAGATGCAAGCTCTTATCGTTTCATTGCGGGTATGAAGAAAGAGCAAGAGAGTGAAAAAAAGATGCCCGAGCTAACTCTGCATAGCCTCTGCATAACCATGTGTTCACTAAATCTATTACTCAGAACTTCGGAATTCTGTCCTTATATTGTCAACAGATCCACTTTCTGACTACTCATTTTATATTACCGCCATATTTTTCAGTTCGCTTTTTGTGATGGTATTCAATCAGCCAGCATGAAATATTTTGCACTCGCCTCAGATGGGTTACTGGGTATTAGGGCTGAGTGTTTGCTGTAATGGTTATTACTATGTACATAAAAGTATGTGTGTACCTTTAGGCGGTTCCAAAGCAGCGCATGGCATATAATATCGACAGAACGTTTCTTTTAAAAATAAAAAAACTCGACCTCTTTTGATATTTCAGATAAGAAATGCCGCTTCATAGTACCAAAGGCCGTAACTAAAGGTTGTGCACGTCCAAGGTGGTACTACGATGGCAAGACTCGGAGGTGTCATCAGATCTGCAGCAAAAAGGCACCATTTTCCAACAAAATAGCCTGCGATGGAGTGTGCCGATCTTGTAAGCGATTTTCTCATCTTTCGTAACGAGTTACAATAAGAACAGATGGCTGTGAATTGTGTTCTGTGATAGCAATGACATTTACAGTTGGCTATAGCCCAAATACTAATCGAGTTATACTGATCACCAAATATTGAAATTATTGACCATCTCGCCAAAGGGAACCCAAATGAGATGAGAAGCAATAGTGGTGTGCACTGTGTTGACCCAGTTGAAACGTTAGTCGACACATGTGCTGGAAGAACGGTTTGCAGCGCAACTCGGTGTAGTGATTGCTTGAGTAAATAATTGACTGAAACACAAAGATAAAGAAGCCAGGTTGGGTTTGGTGTAAGTTTAATCGCAGGTAAGCAAGCCAAAAAAATGTTTTCACTCGACGCGCAGTCGAGCATGCGGGTGGTAAAGAGGGTGCAACGGGAGGGTAGTGTGTTGCGAGGGGAAGGTGGAGGCGGCAGTCGCGGGCGCTGCGCCGAGTGTGCTGCGGGTAGAGAGTGACGTCAGCACACAGCTGCGAGGAAAGAATGTGAGGGGATCGTGACGTCCACGCGCAGCTGTATCGTGACCTACTTGGCCCCGCTCCAACACCTGTGCCGAGGTGAACGCGTTGCGGCGTGTTCGTACAAACGTACCTACGTACGGTCTTAAGCACGCGAGTCAAAGAGCTGCTTTGCATCTAATAATCTACCACTTAGACTCTTCTGCTATACTGTTTCACTGCGGTATAAAAGAACTGCAATATTGCAAGAAGGAACGGGCCCTAGAAGGACAGTGCAATCATCTGGCGAAGCAAAAAAACGTTAGAAATTGTATGTATACTGCATTAATACTACAATTGCGGCAATTCTTGGCATTCAATGGTGTTTTTGTATACTTAAATGTATATAAAACAACAATACCAAAATTTTGAAAGCTCTTTGCAATACTTTACACTGAATCTCTTTATGTGGACTGTCTACCACTGGCATGGTTCGCATAGTTTCACTAAGAAAAGTCATGTGACCACGGTGGAAAGGAGCAGGCCCCTGGTCTGAGTTTTTCGTGCTCAGCTCAGCTATTTTTATGTAAAGATAGTAGGTTTCTAAACAGTCAGTTTGTGCGATGCTCCAGCTTACCATTTCTAGATCAAGCTTATTGGATACTTGTAAAACATTTCTACTAAATTAGACAATCTCCAGCATTATGACATGAAAATCGGGGTATGTTACTAACACCTATCTGAAGACTGTGAAAATATATTATTTCTGGTCGGTTCCACATGCGTGAGCAGGCGGATTTTCGCATTCATGTCCACTTTGCAAACGAAATTATATTTCTATATATCTTAATTGTGTTGCTTCAGTATTGAGTTGAACTTGATTCGTTTATGGTACAACCTATCAGTATTTATTACAGTGTTTCTACAATAAAATACCGAATTATATCTTTACAAAGCATAGAATGTTTTTTTCTGCAATACTTACAAAAACAAACATTATTTTATATTTGGTGCATCCATGACTACACGAAATGAATGTCATGCACAATATAAACAATAATCCTTTTTTTTTCACAGTGGAGGCTTGTGATTTCCCAATGGCAAGCCTATTTTGCTTCTTCCGTCCGGCGCACGAAGTGTATATTTACAATCAGTACTCGAAGCGATGTTTCAAGAGTTATGATTGCTCTACCTTTGGAAACAAATTCCCTACCTTAAAAGAGTGTGAAACTACTTGCCAGCTGTATGAGCGTAAGTGTTTGGATGTTACTGTATCTTGTTTCTTTATTATTGTTCACAACACATGAGGTACAAAATGCTGACATTCTCATTGTTTATTTTGTGCCAGCAGAATTGTTACGTCATGTAATTGCATACTGTCTCTTGATATTCATATGGGATATTATCTGGGCATGTCTGGTGCATTATTTGATAACATATGCAAACAAGAAATAATAGAGCTAATAAAATGTGTTTTTTTGGAAAAGATTTGACCCCACTAATATAATATTTCCTTTTTTGTAACAGTTGCCTGATCATAATTTTTCTATGATATGGGTCTTGTTGATCTTCATGTGACTGTAAGGTTCCTAAACTTTTCTTGTTTTAGGAAAAAAAATTGTGTTTTTCTGCAACCGTCTTGAAGATTATGATAGCCTTGCGCTAGTGGTGCCTACCATTAAGAAAGAATGAAGCTTTTTTCATTTATTTTCCTCTGTGTTGCTCTGTTTTTTATCGTGCTTCTCTAATTCTTTCTCTTCATTTCTTTGTCTTGTATCGATAGCTCTTTTTATATATTTCTTCTCTCTTTCTCTTTTTCCCACAGTCTGTTTTTGTCTTTGATTATATTTGGGCCTCGCTTTATACTTTGCAATTTTTCTTTAGCTAGTTTTGATGATCATGATGATGATGATCCTTGATACTCTGGCACACACCCACAAAAGGGGATCGGCCAAGAACCGGGCGGCAGGATCTTAACTAAAAGGCTTATGGTTTTTCCAACACAACGTAATTTTGGGCTGAAAAAAATATATAGAAAGAAAAGCCGAAAATCGAAAAAGGAGTATAACTGATAGGTAGCTGAACCTGCCGTTCACACATTGCCAGGTTGCTTGACTTAAAGCTAAGCTGGACGTCATCGACATATGTACAATAGAACATATTGCGGGGGATGGACAGGTGCAAGGAATTCATTTTCATAGTAAAAAGTGTACAACTAAGTACACCGCCTTGCGGAATTCCCGTTTCTTGAACAAATGTTTGGGAGAGAACACTTCCCACACGCACACGGAATGTCCGATTGGACAAGTAACTCTCGATTATGGAAAGCATTCCACCACGCACACCCAGGTGAGACAAGTCTCTTAATATGCCAAAACGCCACGTGTCGTAAGCCTTCTTGATATCGAGAAACACAGAAAGAAAGAAAGCTAGTTTTATTTCCTTCTATTTCTTTTTTTTTCTTCGCATATCTGTCTTTAAGTTATTTTTTATAAGCGCCAAGTTAATTTTCTCCATTTGTTGTTCTCATTTTTTTAATCGCTTTGACTTGGTTTATGTCTACACAACTCTTTTTTTTCTGTCTCTTTCTTTCATGTGTTTCGTATGAACCCTTTCGTCGAGCATGGTTTTCATTTAACATTTGTCACTTCTGCAATCATTAGTGCTATTTGCCTACTACTCGTAGCACAATCCCATCTGTAGCTTTCTGCGAACAAAAACGTTTTTACGGCTGCCAATAATAGTTCTGCTGTGAAAATTATTGTTGTTCATTTTTCTTACGTTTTTACACCTATATATTTCTTCTAAAATCTTGTTTCCGGTAACGAAAAGGTATTGTTCAAATAAAAAAACACAAAGTGAACTAAAGGACGTGGCAAATAAAATTTTCAGTGGAATATATACCACAAATGTCGCTTTCGCTGATCTGCATACATCAGCAAAAGCGACATTTTGTAGGCGTTAATCTAAGCTTTCAATTTCAAAGAAATTATTTAATGTGCAAAATTTCACCTGTTTAGTGAAACATGCATAAACTACCCCCGCATGACTGTCTTATCTTAATATAATAATGTGCAATGCTGGATAAATAAAAACACACGATTTAGAATGCTTTTTCTCTTCGTTCATGCTTGATATATATAATCAGTGGGCGAAAGGTGTTTACACCAGCCATTATGCATCTGACTAATGGGAAAATATGTAACTTCAAAGAGCTTTTACAGGAACATGCTGGCTTGATTAAACAGTTCTTTGGTGCATGTGCTTAACCACATATATGTATGAATTAACTGATTCAAGTTGAGTAAGTATATACTGCCCAATTACAGTGCAACAACGAGTGAATGCTTCGTCGAAAAACACGACTGAAGTTACAATCAATGGAAATACAAGCACATCTATTACGATTCCGCAGCAATCAGCGTCGCAATCAAGCAACTTGACCGAAAAAGGTTCCTCGAGTTCTCAATCAGCCACAGGTGAGACTTAGTACGTTTCGCCGATTTATATAAATATTTTAGGTGTGTATGAGGCGTACTGGCATTGTCACCAGTGAGGTGAGAGTTGTTGGTACTCTGCAGGCACCCCGTTTCTTATAGCACTGCATATTTGCAACGAGGGCAGAAGTTTTTTGGTTTTCTTAGGATAGGGAATACGCTTTCAAATCAATCTTGTCACATGAACAAAGCATAATGCCGCCTTATGTGGAAAATGTCGTAGGGAGAACCAGCCACCCAGCGCAATTATTTTGTCATACAACTTGCAAATATTAAATTTAAACAACTTGCACAAACCTGCAGTGGATCCTGGATCCTTATATCAACGTCAATACTTTTGTCACATTTTTGAAGTCTTGATGAGCTTGAATTCATTTAAAACCATCTGCATACATCCTTATCAAGTGCGACGTAGAGCTGTTTTAGTGTAATCATTCGCACTAGTATATATGAAGTTTCATCTACATTGCCAGCATGCGTATTGTACTTTTCCAAAAAACTTCCCAATAAATTTCATATTGCTGGTTACTGCTATTATATGGTTTCAAATATAGTTTGCATCTGAGTAGGTTTGGCGATAATTGTCTAATAAAGTGCCGTCCGCAACTCCCCAGTGCTTGATCCAAAAGTTACCAACCATCCTGTACCATGTCAGTGTTCTGTGATACATCACTGCAGGCATTCTTCAGTAAAAAGCTGAACTACACTTATGCACAACCTATGCGGAATGAATTGGTGCTGGTCACGTTCTCTGTACAACAGTGTTTCAAAATCTAACCATCATCTTTTTTTTGTATTTTGCAGTGGAAGTAGATTTGTATGTTTTAAATTGATTGTGATACGATAAGAAATACTACAAGCAGGGATCATGCACATGCCAAAAGTAATATCCTTGTAAAAATCTGAACAACACTGCCTCTCTGCTTTGCTTCTGAGTTTTCATAACTAGGTGCATTGATCAGACCCGGCATGTATGGAACTAAAATAGTGTCTTCTCAGGGGCGCCTGGACACTAACCTAGTTTTTTTCAAACATAGGTTACAAATTCAATTAGGACCTTATTCCAATAACAGTGCCGTGAGGATTGGTCTAGCCATATTATCTTCTTCCTCTCAACTCCACCTAATAAACAAACCCAAAATTGTGCAATTTTCTAATCTCAACTGTCCCAGAAAGTCATGGTAATAGTTGCTGTGTCTGAACTGACGAACAGACCAAAGGTATCGTGGGTAATAGATTGATTCTCATGGCCACTGGTTACACCAACTAGTGGAACAAAGTTAAAAAGCTGAATAAAAGCATTCGGAACAAACTAGCGAAAGATAGAAAGGCGACGTGTCCTAAATTAGTAGTTAAACAAAGCAAGAGAATCCGACTGTTGTCACCCTCATGCGAAAGCGCTCACAGAAGGTTGGAATAACGCTCAAACTGGCACATATCGATATACGTAAAGATGTCTAATGCAATATTTAGCATGTCCTCCTAGCTTATGCAACAATGAAAATACGCCAGTATAACAATACATACATGGTTACTCAAGCTGGCGTGCTGACGGAGTCGCAAGATAAAGCGTGACGCTATGCTCTCAGCCATCATCAAAGTAGGCAACTTTAGGTTGACCACCTGTCTCCCATATGTGAACGAATCCTAGTGGCTGGTCTCCCTGCGTACCAAGAACTAGCGAAGTAGCGGTAGCTATCCTACAACACTAGCATGCCATAAAGAGTTACAACTTTGCTTTAAAGGCGAATCAATCAACGCGATGGCAACAAATCGGGAAGTCACGCGAAGAATAGCAATCATATCTGAACGTGCCCCGTGTTTCTGACACACAAACGACGCAAGAACGGTACTCGCAGGCACAGATGAACACGAATAAGTCTCTCAGTTGTTACTTCGTTGTGTCAAAAAAAAAAAAACGCACCCTTTTCGCAAACGGAGACGGTGCAGTAAGTGCAGTGACCTTTGGGCACCCAGTAACTACCACAGAATTGTTCCAGTGAAAGCCCAAGGCGTACGATTTCCCAAAGTACGTGTGGAAGGTGAGAGCGTGCAATTACCATGTCATGACGATCAGGCGTCTCGTGTTTATTGCGCCATCTTGCTGGTAAAGCTCATAACAAGGTAGTTCTCTCAGGTGGCCATCATCAGCGGCAAGTGTTAGATATAAATAGCTTGCCGTTTCGCTGTTGAAGGAGGTGCTCCTTCGTTGCTGAGTGGCTAACGCCTCGCACGGGTTCCGTGCGCCAGAGTATTTTTTGGATTGGGTTTCGCTTTACTTTCTTGTGTTCATATATATATATATATATATATATATATATATATATATATATATATATATATATATATATATATATATATGGTGCATGATACAGTTGTTATCGCAATAATAAATGCTACCTACGTAGAATAATAGTCCATTAGCCATGCTTACACAACAACAAAATAAAGAGTAGAGGATTGACTGATACAAGAACTGATCGATACGGGGACGAGGCAAACCGCAATTATTGAGACGCTGCGCATTATTACCGACCCTTGACAGGGTCGATAATAATGCCTGAAAGCATCTTGAACGTGGTCGCAGACAGAATGGCTTGCATGCATTTTTTTCTTTTTTTTACTTCGAACAGTGCAGCTGTTTAAGGCATCAGCTTGTCATTGTCTACTGCCTCGCGTTGGGACCACGTCGTGGTGCGTCTTGCCTTGACGTTACGCAGTTTCCACGTTTTATTCAAATCAGCCGTGTAGGCTACACATTTCCAAGCCAGCGCGTACTTGTTTGTGGACGTCAGCTTAACAAGTCTTCTGCCCCTACAAGTGAAGTGAGTGTGAAGAGTTTCGGAATGGGTGAATTATGTGGGCATCGTTGCTTCATTGACCACAACGTCCGTAAGAAACACGGCGAGGCTGTTTTCTGTTTACTTTGCTTTCTCAAAACAACACACTGAAATAAAAAACTCCCAAACATTTCCCCGAGGGTGAACATGGTTAAGTGCGAATACACGGGGTGATGCTATGAGGGGTATTTATTACTTCGCACTTTATATTTATTAATCACACTATGGTGCCTTTATGGTGTAATGGTTCCTGGGAATCGCAATTTGATCACACGGGGGAGTTTACGTTAACTCACTGGCGAATGCCAACGGATTTTAACTTACTCCCCCTCACGACTCGCTCTCGACGGAAGACTGAGAGAGAAGGCGGGCGCACGAGAGAGAGGGGTGAGCGCGCAGCTGCAGCGAGCGAGGAGAGCGGAGAAGCGAGCGAAGGGGGAGGGGGTATAAGGCGCGTTACTAACACCGATATCAGCGTCGCGTCCGTGGCTTGTTCGGTAGAGCGTCGCGCTGCGGCCCGCCAAGTCCTCTTTCTTTTAAAGATAGAGAGAAGACTGCGGACGCCGCCGACGGCGGTGGATGGTTTGGGGTCGCTTATAAAGTGTATTCACACTTAATACAACAAGCACTGAAGACATGAAAGCATTTGACAACCTATGTACAACGCTCTGAGCAGACACATCAACAAGTCTATTTCAATTAACTGCAACCTGAACAGTTTCATCGGTGAGTACTAGTACTGAAGCTTCAGGGACCTGCACAGTGATCAGGTATGTGCACGGCGATGCCGTCGCTGGAGGAACCAGACGAAGAGCAGAGTGACGTCCAGATTTGGGCACGAAAGTGCGGGTAGGTGCCGAAAGCAGAGTCGAAGAAAACACGTGGTCTTCTTTTTGGATGCGCAGACCAGGGGCCACAACCAAGCACTCGGGCTGTCGCTCGATAGTGGATCTGGCGGCTGCGGTAGCTTCCCGCTGGCTCCATGGATCTTTGAAACTTGAGGTCAAGCGAAGCAGGCCACTCCGACTCTTGACGTCTGCCAGGCACTCAAGGCAAACCACGACCGTGACGCTGGCGAACTGCCTCCACCCTGCTTAGATAGATAGATAGATAGATAGATAGATAGATAGATAGATAGATAGATAGATAGATAGATAGATAGATAGATAGATAGATAGATAGATAGATAGATAGATAGATAGATAGATAGATAGATAGATAGATAGATAGATAGATAGATAGATAGATAGATAGATAAGAAGTTTATTCAGACAGTCATGGTCTGGGATGAAGGGGCTAAAGGCAGATGCAACTGCCTGACAAAGGCCCCCCTACACAGGGGTGGAAAGCCGCTTCTCCCGGTTCGACAACCTAGCCCACTGCCCTGGGAGTTTTTTTGGCAGACTCCGCGGCACCTCAATAGCGCTCTCTCGGTTGCCGCGTCAACAAACAATTGGCCCTTGAAATCTTCGTGGTACCTGCTGATTGGGCCACTTTCCTCTAATTTTGTTGACATAGCACCTTCAAGGTAATGTCCCTCATCGTCGTCTTCGCCGTGCTTCTGTTTCCACGTGCACTGCTGGTCTTTTTTTTCCTCCCTTTTCGCCACTCTGCGTCCGCGCTGTTTCGCACCAGCACAACCGACATCGTCGTCTCCTACCCCGTGCACTTCACACCAGTGCACTGGCAATGTTTCATGCGCACACCACATCAGAGTGAGGTCAAAACGCCAATATCGAGAGCTTGATGCATCAAGCCCGGGGCTACTTTCAGTAAAAGAAGAAGAATTAATATAGGTAGTCACCAACAAATCAGACCTTCATTAAAAAGAACAGAAATGGGCAGTAAAGAAGTTACAGTCAATCCACGAAGTGAATGATGGCGTCAGGGCGAAGTTTGTAGGAATCATTTGGCCTCATACAATCTTTCTTTCTTTGTTTCTTTTTTTTTCCAACGAAGTGTGATTCATCACCGCGAGAGAGAGAGAGAGAGAGAGCGGGGAGCGGGAGCGTTTTAGAGCCCTGCGGTGAAGTAAACAGCGTGCCACGAGCGCACCCGCAATTATCGTTCTTCTCCTCTACCTACGTTCAGCGCGCTCGCGGCCGGCGCTCCCAACACGTGCAAGCCAGGACATGAACTTTCCAGGTACAAGGCTCCACCCAAAGGTGCTGCACCCCATATAGCACGTAATCAAGAAAACACAATACAGGAGATGATCCCAAGAAAGCATGGAAACAAAAAAATAAGCGCAATGACAATACAGACAGATCACTGCTCTACAGTCATCACAATCAGCCCTCAAAAAAGCACAAAAAAAACAAACAGTGCTCTTTTGTACGTTGATGATGATTAGTGTGTTCTAACTAGCCCGATTCATTATTCCACTGCTCTGTAGTTTGTACAATGTTTGCTTGAAACAGCAATTGCTTCGATTTTATTTTATTTAGAGGGGGTTTCGGCATTTATTTATATTTACACCATTATGACAGTGCGTTGGAACAGGTTCACAACTTATTCTACGATATTCGCATCGTTTCTAGTTCATGTCCGCAATGATATGTGTGCGAGCAAAGTGAACGATGTTAGATGGATGGCCGAGGTGACTGTACAAAAAGTTAAGGACTAAACACCGCATTATAATGCGTCAGTTCATACTTTCTGCAACGTTATTACTGCTTGTTTTTTACTGTTTCGAAAACATAACGAAGCTATGTTGTTTTAACATAACCGAGGTCATCGTTTCGCCCTGTCACTCATGCGGCACTAATGCATTTCATTTTTCTGCGTTGGTTTTATCCCTAGAACTGCCTAAGCCAGCGCTAGGGACCTCAGGCGGTAATGGTGATATACCAGCACAGGTTCCCACCACCAATGTAAATCAGGTAAGTGAATTGGCTGACGTCACGAAGTGATTACGTTTGATTCAACAGTGAAAGCAATCAGAGCTGGCGTTGAGGCAAGTATAGTATGTTTATCTTAATCTGCAATCTAGTAACAATCGTTTTTCGACAAACACTCACTAAATCAAGAATTGAACTAAGCAAAAATCGTCATTTCTTATCATTTGTAAAACTGAGCTCGTGCTTAGTTTAATCGAAGTTATTTGCACCTTTGAACGACAAAAATTGGGAGGTAATGATTTATTTAGGCTTTATTTGTTTGCTCTCTTTTATTAACTCATTTGTAGGAGGGCCATTAAAAGTGAAAATTGTTAAGACCTGTCTGCATAGAAGAGACATATGCATTAGAATGTGCTTTGTCATATGCTTCGTGGTTATGTGCTTCATGTTATGTGCTTCAATCTTTCAATCACTTCAAAAACAACATGAATTAATATCTCAGTTTATTTTGAATACTCCTTCAAATATGTACCAAATACATATAGTTTTCATTCAAAAACAATAATAGGTAATATAACTGCACTCTACTATTTCTATTGTGAACGGTTGAATTATGTATACGATAAAAATAATTTTTGTGCAAACTTGGCCGAACTGCAGGGATAATAGGTATTCATTCATTGATTGCATGAATTTTCCAAGCCTGTACGAACGGTTCTTTCATTTAGCGTGAGCCCCTGTTGCACAATAAAAAGATGATTTCAACATAATACTTCAAAAAATGGTCTTACAATAATGAAGAATAAAAAAATATTCAAGGTTCTAAATAGAGGACACCTTCACAAGAACTACCAATACCAAGATCAATATGCATTGCGGTTTTATTTGTATAAATAATGGTAACAGCCTTGGAGGTGTGTGAATGTGGGAGACATGTCATGAGTAAACTTTATATAGACGTTTGACACGACTTCAATGCAGAGTTTGCACATAACATCATGACCTATCTAGAAATTTCTAGAATTATCTAGAATGTTCCAATCGTATTTCTGAAGATGGTGATGGAATCAAGCAATGGTGAGCTTAACACACTGACAATGACAGTTTACAGTTCGAGTGTAATTTCAAGTGCACGTGCGTACGTGATACATTGATCTGTTTAAGTATACAATTCTCCAGTGTTTCATAGAAGAACATTTAGACGCATGCTTTTCAGCCGAGAAGACAAAAAATACTTCAGTATAGGAAAGGCTTTAAAACCTTTCTAAATTGCGCTACACAGAACTAGTGTTCGGCAGTATTTGGATAAAAAAGAGCTACCGAAGTGGTGTCTGGCTTCAAAAACTAAATGTTCTAGAATGTCTGCACACTTCTGGTGTCAAATTTTGGTAGTGATGTCCGTTGATTTTTTTTTCCTTTTGCAGAATATTGCATCGGTTTCTAGTGGCACCCCTGCACAAGGATAACGCTCTACAGTTTTCCAAGCTTGTTTCAAAAATATAAACAGTAGAACCCTGTTGCAAATGCGTATTTGAAATAAATGTGTTCAAATAATACGGAACTAATGGTGTCTACAAAATATTTTATGAATATTTTCTTCGTATTTATGCTTGCTTTGCCCTGTCAAAGGGCGATGAAGTCACAAAATAAAAATCTTATTTGTGTTAAAAATAATATAGTCATCAAGCATTCATTCGTCGTAATGCAAGGCAGTCATCCAAAATTCTACTTCACATTTTCACATGAAGTAACAGAGTGGGAATTGATATTTTGTGTTTGTGCAGTGGTGCATACGGATTAAGGACTACGCATGGTATCACACTAGCTTGAACGAGCGGTTCATTTATACGCGACGTGACAACTGAAGTCACAGTCTGATTAGGGAGAAATGAATGTGATGCTTGAGTTGCAACAGAGTTTGAGGGTTTTTTAAGTTGGCTTTCGCGATGTGAAGTCTTGTTTCTCCAATTTGAAATAAGTGCACAGAAAACAAATATTTGTTGGTACAACATTGCAGTCATCTCCACTATGCCTTCACAAGCTTCATTATTTGTTGTTTTTTGTAGGTGGGGTCTAGGGTAAAAAAACCAAGCCCTGTATCAAGCCCCTTTACCTATAATAACTAGGACCAGTTGATTATTGCTTTTGCTCCGTGCATTCACGCACATGAGCATAACTTTTAAGCGAAGCACCTAACAACAGCAAACTGCGAAATATATTAGAAAACTTACACCTCGATTCCCCAGAGGTTCCTTTATACATGCTGCATAAAGAAGAGAGAGAGTTATGAAATGCCTGTCAAAGACGAGCACTTTTTTACTATGCATGAATACTATTGATATGTAAGGTAGAATTCACATAACAATGGAGGCCTGAACAAACTTTACACAACCTTGTTAAAATGGTCTGCTCAGGCCGACGTGGCGTTCGTAAGAGTTGACCTGTTAGAGTTGTTAGAGTTAGAACCTTAAAGTTGTTAGAGTTGACCTGTCTTTCAGTCAGGCATTGCTTCATTACAGTGCTTTATATTGCGCGCACTGTTAGATATTTACAAACGCTATTTTCACCCTTTTCCTTGCAATTCTCTGTTGTACAAAGAACTCAAGCTGTGCGAGAACGTTAGTCGACAATGCACGACGAAGAGCCCCATTGTAAACACAATGCTTTGGTCACACAACACATTGCAGGCTTACGGCATTCCGAATAGAGCGAAACTATCTACTGCAGGGGAAAAAAAAAGGTGCGTAATGTAGGCAGCATCTAAAGAAAACCCATAGTGCCAAATACACTAACTTGAGAGTTGTCCCCCTCCAGCGCCTTGCTTTTATATTCACTTTAAAAGCCTGTATAGAACAGAATATGGGCAACGGGAATATTAATACAGTTCTCGCTCTATTTCTCGTCGTTGCCACCTGCAAATCATCGGAAATAGAAGGACTTGGTGAGTATAACGCAACTTATAGTCTGCCATATTCCGTATAGTATTGTAATTGCTTGCTCAAACGAATTAAATATGGAATAGCATTGCACATAGTCGCTTACAGTGCCTAGGATTGGGTGGAAAATGTACATCTGCACATCGTTCTAGGCTTACATTTTCTACTTAACGGCGGAGACTCATTGAAGAAAGAATAATACGCCCGCTGCACAACAAATATAATATTTTGATGGTACCTTAGCTCTTGTTGTTTAACCAGGAAGACGAAAAGAACATCGGCAGTTCAGAATTTTACAATTTTTCGCATTCTACTAAGTTTCAAGCTAAACACACATCATCACTAGGCTATGGTTGTTACTGCAAGATCGATATAGTGATTTCACAGGCGTGATACCTGTGGTGTAACACAATAGAGTGACATTGGCTATGCTGAATGCTCTCGTCAGCCCAGTCTCAGCAATTTTACGGCATGTGTCATCTGTTTTACGTGGGTAAACTAGCTAAACATTGGACTTTCTTTTCTCCAACATAGTCAAACCAGGCAAACGGGGTTTTTTTTTTCGTTTAATAGTGGAGATTATTCGCACTAGCGTAACCATAATCAAAGTGGTTCTTTTCAGCACGTTCTGAGCTCATGTTTTCTAGCTTTCAAGTAAGCACATGTTAAAGTAAGCTTCAAATATCAGCTGAAAACGTAGCACTAGGGTCGATTTTATGGTTCATTTTGTTCTGAAATTTGAGATGTGGTAGAATGGAAACGAATTAAATTTTAATGAAGGGGCAACAGCAACAATAACAGCAACATTAAGAAAAGCTGGTGTTCAACATCGTCTTACTAGGCTTTAATTCTTAAAGACGTTGTAGTAGAAAGCATCCTTAATTTCGACTTCTTGGAATTATAAACATGCATTTAAGTCTAATTACACTGGCCACTAGACTTTTTTATCAGGTAGTGCTATGGCAGCAATTCAATCACGCAACCTTCTGTGCACGAGTCAAGCGCAGGAGGTGTGGGAGGGCAGGACGAAGCTTTCCCTAGTCACCGAAAATAGGGTTTCGAAGTGTGCCCCATACAACGGCTTCGCATGAAGGTGGGTGGGGGGGTACTCCAATAAACTTTCCCCTCCCTCCTCAACAGAGGAAATATAATGGGAAAAAATTTGTGTGGCACATACTGGTCGGCAGAGTCAACATTTTACTCAGGACGGTCTTGTACGTATGCAAAATGGAGTGTAAGCCGATATCTACTTTTGTTACTGAACGCTTCAGAACAGAATACACCACACTTCACATTGCAGCGCGGAGTGTTTGTCCACGGCAGCTTAAATTTCACTTAAAATAAACCGGCAGATGTATATTGACCAAGTTTCTGAAATATCCGATTTTGGTGTCGGACTCACGCATTGTTCTTTTTAAAAACACTGCACGTGGGTGAGCACGCCTGTATAATGCTCTAGCACATAAAATAGGCGCTTCTCCTGCATAGAGCGTGCATTGATCGCACCTGTGTATGACGAAAGCCTATTCTCTAGCTGCCGCAGCGGTAGCAACGAAGTCGTATTTTTAGTGAACAAAGTTTTGCATCGTACTTTCAGAGGCAAGCGCACGCGCAGGTTACTGATATATGTTGGAATCGCAGGGACAGGAGCACACATAGTAGAATGCCTGCCACCCCATCCTTTCACAGTGCCTTCGTACAAGGGAAATCAAGGGCTGGGCAAGAGCTGCGTGTTTAGATTTTTGCGGCATTCTAAAGGAGGTCACTTCCCCTCTGTGACATTCTGCGCAGCAAAGGCAAACCTTACGTGAGCTCAACACTCTATGGGTATTGTGGGACGAAATCATAAAAGGCCGAAAGCAACAGATGCGGGGGAGGGGGGACAAAATGTCAGTTAATTTTGGTAAAATGAAGAAAGCCTTTCCAGTATCTCGTGCAAGGACAAGTTTGTTTTTATACAGTTGTAGTACTAGATATTACAATAGGATTGGTACATATAATGTGTTTTTTAAATAAATCACAAATCTGACGTGAATTGGCGAGACCCTATCTGTTGGCTACGGTAGAACGCTTCGTAGGTGGTGTAACGCAGAGCAATTGTCATTTACATAATTTCAACAAAAATGCTATAAAAACACCTAAAAACTACTGCTACATAACAACAAAGAGAAGAGAGGGAAGTGGAAGCTTCAGATTAGAAAGTTTTAAACAAAATGAGGGTGCTGAAGCCGACGTTAAGACAATTCCGTTTGCATCTTTCGAGCCCGCCACAGATTTCCTTGGCGCATGTGTGGGTGTGTATGTTGATAACTCCGCTATTTCAAGCAAAGAGAAAAGAGAAATTGTTATTTTGACATGTGTAATTTAACGTCCCAAAACTACCGCACAATTATGAGAGAAGCCAAAGTCGAGGGTCCGGAAATTTTTGGCCACCTGGTGTTCTTTAACGTGCACCAAAATCTGAGCACTGGGGCCTGCAGCATTTTTGCTTCCACCGAAAAAGCAGCTGCCGAAGACGCGATTCGATCTGGGGACCTGCTGGTCAGCAGCCGAGTACCTTAGCAACTAGACCACCACGGCGCGAAAGAGGAGGATAGGTGCACTGTGAAAGTAGAGAAAAAGTTAACGCGCCCTCTCGAACTTTCTAACGTTAAACAACGCACAAGAGAAATCTCCCACCGGCTGGACCTCTGAGATCAAGATCCAGTGCCTATATAAAAGTGGTGGCCAGTAAACGAGCACACAGTTCGAGAAGTCGGTGTTTTCATTCAAGAAACTCGCTACCAAACGTTGCCTGCATCGGCGTTGTGAGGCGAAGATGGGGGGAGTGTATGACAGGAGGGTGGGAGAGAGCGTTGTAAATGCTGTAGAGAATATTGTCTAGAGGAGAGAGAGGAGAGCAAGCGGCGACTAGCAGACGATGCCTGTGTTCATGCTGTGAGGCAAGAGAGGGGGAGTGTAGGAGGTGAAAAAGAGGAAGGGGGGGGACGGGCATGTGTAGTAAAGGTGGTAATGCCGCCCGTAAGATTGAGCTCGCTCATGAGAAGCTTCGCGTTTAAAATTATATGCGCGCGTTTGGGGGTTGTGTACATGTTGCTGAATTGTGGTTGTAAGAAGAAGGAGCCGCTTAAGAATGGTAACCAAGAAATTTTTAGACCAAGAACTGAACACTCATCGTTTTCCGTTGCGGATGTACCATATCACGTGGACCCAATAGCCAATTGTGAAGCAATATTACCTGCGAGATTGAGTGTTATAAAGCTGCGAATAAGGTATGACTGCACATATTCTGTCTCTTGAGGACAAGAAGTTTTGCTTCCTCTTGAGGATGAGGGGTGAAACTTGTGGTCCCCATCAAACATCGCCCCATTAAAATTTTTTTCAGCCTTTATAGTGTTGAATTCGTTGTCCGCGTATTCATTTGTGTACAAACGGTTAATATAATAGGCATGCTAGTGCCACGAAGCCTTCATATTTCTCTATGTAAATCATGCTTCAATTTGAATTTGAGCTTTATGCATTAAAGAGCCGTGTATGCGTTCTTGTACTGAACTTTGCGTTTTAGACAACAACGTTGAACCACCTTGTAACGATTTGCTTTAACCTCAAATTGCGGCAAGGTTAGTTCCTTCCTTCCTGCTTTCTACGTCATAGAGTGTGGAACTAATGACAGCTCGTTACTAAATAAGTGTGCCACAAAAAAAATTCTGTAAATAAGAAGTTCTGACTTTCTAATAACAATTGAGTCTTTATTCAGTGTAGATAAAAGCTACTACAAAGGTCAATGTCATTTTTCTTCTGGATCACATCACAAATCATTTCTAATCATTAGGACAGATCTCGAGTATACATTTTATTTTTTTACTTGTAGGGGGTCACAAGTATATTTTTTTTTTTACACCTTGCATTATCATAACATCTGAGACACGTATATGAAATATGGATATTGTCACGGGGTCGTGACGTGGCCAAAAGGAGCAGACAGTAAGCTAAATGTTAAACTGTTTATTCGGCTGAACTTGTTGCCGTAATGTGAACATCAGATTACAGCGATACACAACTTTAACTGATAGCGGCAAACAGACCATCGGCTGTAGATCAACCGGCAAGCGGCGAAGCATGTCGGCATTTATACATGTGCCGTCGAATATTCCAGCCTTATAACCGGTCGTCGCAAAATCTCTGGAATTATCTTGAGTGTTCGCGTCCTGCTCGCAATCTTAACAGAGTGATCTACAATAATCGCGAACCACCTTGAACGATGAGAAACGCGTGTGGCAATATCATAACGTTCCGCGTAAACTTGTAATGTTAGCAAGCATAGGAGAGCAAGCGGAACTCCGCGACATTTCAAGTACATAAATAATCAATCCACCAGGACTTGTGAGCCATCCAGCTTTCTCTGAAGTAACCTCAATGAATCCTGAAGCTTCTTGTACCATAGTGGGCATTCAGCCATGAGAAAACATTAAGATAGTTTTAGAAGTACAACTTTTCCCTAATGTCACTTCTTATCTTATACTCTACCGATATAAATATGTTTACAGAGACATACTTTTATACATAGGCAACCACTGGCCCCGTCTTTCATGTACAATGCGCGTTGGCAGCATAGGCAAGATTAGATAAAACAATATTCACTGGCTGCAAGTCTATCACAATGGCAAAGTTTACACGCGACATAACGCTTACATATAATAGTAAGCAATAGCGTGGTCATAACGATTGCTAAGATGTTTGTAACTTTAGAACCGTATGCACAAGAACAGAAAATAGTAAATGGGTAAAACAGAGTGTTACGCTGTATGTCCACTCTGGTTGCCCTACATGTAAATAATCAGCATTTTCCGAAATTGAAGCAATAAATTCTGAAGCTTATACACACTCTAATAGTCACAAAGCTGTTTGAAAAACATGTATTTGCCTCAATAACAGGAACTTTGACAGTACAATTATCACTAAGTACTGTTAACATCTCGGAGCTTAGCTTGCTTCCACTTTATATTTATATTTTAATGTGGCGGTGTACCTAAACTCAGTAACGTGTTCAAATGTTGTTGGTGAGTTGTGCAGACTCACCAATAACATAAGATTAAATATCTTTCTACTTTGGTTGGCTGTGCGTTTGTGTGCTTGAACCTACTAAATGACGAATGATTATTATCGCAATGCTACAGTAGGGCCACCAGATTCTTTACCAAGTAAACCAGAAGAATCAGATCCACCAGCAGACACCAGCCCGAAAGAGGATGCGACAGGACCGAAAGCTTTCTTACCCTTAGCTAGAATACCTGGATATGGTGAGTGGGTATTTTCATGTTGAATGTTTAAAACTATAATATTCAAATATAATTTGACCTACTAACTTGTCCGAAGGCGCATAGTATCGAAACATGGGAAATAATATTTATCATTGCAATCAATGATAGTTGTGAACTCACTCGGCGAATGGTTACGTTCTCAATCATAAGTTATATTGTGTTGCTGTGGCTGGAATAACTGATATGCAAATTTTTGTGAACACTGAAATTTCATGACGAATCACATTCGAATTGAATAGTACCGCACAGTGGCACGAAATATTGAGTGTCAATCGCTTACGAATTTTTATAAACCTGAACAAAAATTAAAGGACACCAATTATTCAACAGTGTGTTCAGAAAAAGCCTGCTACATGCGACCTAAAATGTCTTGTGTATATTTTCTTTTTTTACTCTCTTAACACTGACGTAATTGCTCGAAGTGGGAGATGGCACAACTGGCATCATTCAACGGTACGGATGTACGGACGAACAGACGCTGTATGAGCCATTATTGGTTCTCACCCTCGCAAATCCAGTGATGCCACAGCATGAATTCGGAAACTGTGCCACCGACGACAGAATCTGCCTTCGTTAGAAGTTGTTTTTCTCGTCATGGAGGGAGAGTGCAGGCCTTACAACTAGTCTAGGTGGCATTATGCACTAGCACCTTCTCCGTCTTCTTTTCTCTCCTCCTCAACCTTGCTGCCCTTTTCCACCCTATATATACTGCATTATAAAAGGGCCCCGCATGCTTTGTCCCAACTGCTCCTTCGTTTTGTTTCTTTTATTTTCCTTACTTTTTTTCCTCACTCTAGTTCAGATTTCTATAAGAAGACCGCACGCCATGACCCCTCTGGTGACTCTGAACGCAGTGGACGGTCCTACGGCAGACACTGGTCGCGGAACACGAATGATAGCGCTCTGGCCTATGGTCATGGTAGCTTGGTTGCAACTATACGATATAATGCTACCCGCCCAAAGTTTACTCAGCGATGCGCCTGACGAAGAATTCATATGTCTCTCGTCGTCAGTATTTACAACGCAAGACCTTCAAGTAGCTAGTGCCGACTATCAGTTTCACTTGACAGAAAAGCCTTGTCAAAACAGCTGCTGCCTTGGTTTCCCATGAGAACTGAGCTCTCTGTTCTTACTTATTGTCTGTGTCACTCGTATTCCACCTATCTTTCAATTTCACCTAAAAAGGTTGGAGGGCGGTGCACGTTCGTACCAGCTTGCAAAGTAAAGTGCGTGTCCCATTCATCGTGAAGGGTTAAGTGATATGCATTGTGTTTTTTGATATGTGGCTTACGACTTCTGTGTATGACTATTCAAACCACAGATGAACGATGTAATGTGCAAGTACCGACAACAAAAGAAAAATGTAGAAGCACTCACGACGGAAAGAAGCAGCGTAAAGGGTGGTATCTCGATCCAGCAACAAGAAAGTGCCTACCAAGCTGCGACAAAAATGCCCCCTTCCGATACAAAATTCACTGCAACGGAATCTGTCGGACTGGTAAGAGAAGTTTTCCTTGTTTTTCATTCACAACAACATCTAACTGTATTGATGCATTGTTTTATTTTAAAGTGGCTTGAAAAGGCCAATTATTTTTTATTCATATCTTTTACAACCTTTGTTGAACCGTAATATGTTTTGTTTCTTCAAAAATCACACCTAAAGATACAAACTATTGTACAAACAAAAATCACGCAGCAAAAACAAAATGGAACACTGACCATTTCACTGTTTCAAAAACAGCTCTTGCTATGTTACCACAAGGCGGGAAACACAGCACAAAGACAAGTGCCTTGAACGTGAACTTTTTAAACGTAGGTAGCGAATTGAGATTTATTGAGCAGTTCAGCGCAGAGTATGCGCGATGTTTTCAGCGCAGAGTACTGAAAACATCAACATTGTATTACTGTTGTTGTGCGTGGTAACCCTATCGCGAATGACTAAAATAATATACCAATGAATGAAACTGAAGAGGAGTTTTTCCTCAGGGTCTCTGTTTCGTTCCGCCCTATCAGATGGATTTTTAAGAAAAACAATGTATGGAAATTACCTTTCAAGCACTGATAATACGAAGGCTTCAGAACTTTTGTTCAAACGATGGCTACCCACAGACAAATATGGTCTATAGAACGTATTTCGAAAACGTGGATATATCAATGCTTCCCAAAAGTGGCTGTTGGCAACACATACGTCTAATTTCACAGCAGCGTATGCTGGATATATCAACTGTTATAGAGAATAAAAACAAATGCTTAAAACGCTGGTTATCTTGCATAGCAAATCAACTATATAATCATCCGCCCAAATAATAAAATTTTGTTATTTTTCAGCAAAAGCACTTATAAGGTCGCACTGACTGCCCATTTCGGTGCCATGCTGTCCACCGTCGCCCTCACACGTGTATGCAACTGCGATTGCACGAAGTGAGGAAAAGAGCATGCCCAGGATTGACTGGAATTTGAACCCGGACACTTTCCGCAGCAGTTGAGCACTTTACTGTAGAGCCCCGCCGTCGCTGCTTGAAACGCCTTCACGAAAAAAAAAAAGCAGTAGAGGCGTCATGCTATCTAAGGAATTGCGTAGCCATAAGTAGTATAGCGTGATAAAAGAGAACAACAACCAAGTGTCACACCATGCAAATTGCCTAGGAGTGGATAGTTTAAAGCTTACAAACGGTTCAACTACATGTCGTCATCATAAGCCACGTGAACATTTCGCACACAAATGTTTTAGAGATGTGCGATGGTCATCTCGCTTCTCCGCCAGATGATGAGTAATGGCATGATTGGCGATTCCATCCTCCTCAAACGTTATAATGTTTTACAGCTTTGTGGATAACTTGCAAGTGCACTTGTAGTGATTGCGCCACGAAACATTACAACTCACTCAAAATTGACCCTATTTCAGCTGCCGGTGTAGCTGGGTTGCTTACTCAGTGCGGACTTCGCATTTAATTTCACGACTGATTTGGTGTAAACAGTTCTAAAGCCGGCTTGCACGTGCTTCAGCAACAAACATTCACTTCAACCGGACCTGAACCTGTCAGTAACCACTTTAAATATCATCACTTCATGAAACGTGAACGCGAGTGGAGCTAGTTGGTACGAAGAGCTTAACTTAAGAACAGTGCTAAAATGAAAACGAGTGAACGAAGGGCATAGTTGGCAGCGCTTACATACCGCATGCTTTATATCTCACGATTACGCAATATATACTCGTACAGTGCACAACAAATAAAGAAAGAAAGAACGATAAAAAGCGTAAAAATAACACTCATATATCATCGTCCTGACAGCGCACCACGAACATTACGTGTGCAAACATCATGAAGAAAATCCCCTTCTCTTTGTGACAAAGCATGTGTATCAGGAGGTATTCGATATTTTTGTTCTGGCCGTAATCGTGATCATATCAGCCCACCTATTAGCTCTCTGACAGTTAGCGACAAGTCAATCACGTTGTACGCAAGCGCTGTTTATGTCTTTCCGCATTGGTCCTCTGTTCCTTTTTTTTGTTTTATTTATATGTGAAAGTTGGGTGAACCTTTAGGAAGTTTCAGAGGGGGAGGGGGCAAAGCAGCCACCTGAGTAAGCAGTGATCTTTCAGGGTAACCTAACATCTATCTCTCACACGGCGGCTTCTTATGACTTGCAAGAAACCTGCTCCAAATTTTTATAACTAAATGTATATTTAATCCTGAACAGGCAGTCGCTTGTAAGTGTAATAAAGAGGCAACATCCTTTAGGAGAGCTTGAGATTGATTTCATCTTAAATATGCAATTACGAAAGTTACAAAATCTTGCTTTTTTTCGTTCCAGAAAGGGCTTGCCACTTTGAAGCAACAAGTTTTCCCTGTGGGTTTCGGGCTATGCATCCTATATTCGTTTATAATCGCGCGCAGAAGAAATGTGTCAAAGCGTATGACTGCGATTACTATGGAAACAAGTTCGTTACATTGAAGGAATGTCTAAAGACATGCGTTAAAGGTGAGTTAGCTTTGTTAGCATTATGTACCGAAGCAGCCTGCTCAGCTTAGTTACATTGCAGGGCTATATAGCCTCCGTGCAGCCGTTAGTGTAGAAGGCACCTCTACCGGCAGCAAGCCAAAATTCGACAGGGTGTCCTTTTATTAATTTGTTTTAATATATAATTTTAATTTGGTAGCGTGCTTACCTTATAATGAATATCTGTATGAACACGCAAACAGGTAGCAGAGGTGTGCTCCCGAGTCGTCACGTTAGAGCCTGCTAGGTCTGCATCTGTCTCTAAATTATCTTAAGTTACACCCTAGCGTAGCATACATTGTCACCGTACTTGTAGACAAGTACTGAATACTGTATATTAGAAGCCTTATGATTGAGATAGTTTCCAGTATAACATCGCTCTAGTGGTATTATGTCTCTTTCGTATTACACATAGACGTTCTGGGGCATAAAACTCCTGATAATATAAAATATACGCGTAATTATGAATATTCCCGAGAATAAATAACTATATGGTTACCATAGTAATATTGATACTTCAGGTGAAGTGCTACCTAGTGTTTGAATCTTCGTAAGCTACCTGTGCAGATTTTCGTGCATAGACTTCTCATAATTACAAAATTATAGGTTCGAACCCTTTATTTTGAATCGTGGAAATTCATGTGGTTTTGAAAGAAATTATAAGGCCACGGAAGGCAAGTCTTGCATGCTGAGCTTCATTCATAGCTTACTTTTGGTGCAAAGTTCTTGAAACAACAAATGAAACAAGCACAGGTGCAAACTTCCAACTGACCTTATTACCGAAACAAGACTTACGTATGAAAACTGGACAAAAAAATATTGTGATTAGTGCACCGTACGACAACGAGCATCTGCCACTTCCTTACCTCAGAGGTAGTATTCTATTTAATAGGGTCATTTCCTGTTCTGTAAGTGAAGTAGACGTAACGCTCACAGAGTTGCTGGCCCCCCACTGCAATCGCTAGCTGTTTCTGCCCTTCGGTTGCATAGCTGTTCTCGGTGCTTCAAACAGGCGGAATGCAAGGGTCACCGGGTGGTGCTGTCTCTGGTTCTCCGACCTCTTTGCCGACGCCACCATCAATGCCTACTCAGGGTCGGCAACCATCTCCACCACCTTCCGCTGTTTTACCAGGGCCCGAGCCTCAAGTTCCCCAAATTTCCCCGGGTGAGTAGGATTTACAACTCTTCATTTACGTTTATGCGGAAAATAAGACACAGCAATTCAGATGTGGCGCCTTGGTTAAAATAGAGCAGTATATTATTCATCCTCAGAACATACACATGAATCACAACATAAAGGATATCGGCAGTATTCTTATGGTTCGAAATCGGTACGTGTGTTTTTAATGTATCCACCATATGCCACTAAGGGCCTGTACACGCGCCATCTACACAATCGCAGTGCACAGGCCGAGACATCTGCCGTATGCCAGCGGAGGGCAAAATAGCGGCGACGCTCTTTTACAATACGTTTGAGTGTGGCCAGTATCCGACATGTCTGATGCGGTGGTGTGGATAGCGCATGAACAGCCTCAAGGTAAAAGTTAACCCATGTCGTTTGTTTGTCAGTATATATGCGTATTTTACTATGCTGCAATTTGTTCGTCACCTAACCAAGTGGGTATGAGGCGAAAGGTGCGTGCTTTGCCGTCTTCAGACGAGCGCTATTAACTATCATGCAGTTTCGACAACTACTGAATTCTCTTCACTGGGGAAAACAAACACTCAAAGTAGTACTGCACAGTCAATTTTACTGCAGTCACGTCGTTTTCGCTTCAGTTTGTAGAAACGAAAGACGTGGACATTTCTGTGGAAGGAAATATCTCTAGTTCCCTCTAGAAAAATAAACACGGGTATGGGGTACCTGCTCAAGTTGGTTCAATAATTTCGTCGCTGAAGACAGATTAATTTTGATCATTCATTACACAGGTAGTTTGCGACAACCATCTGCGAACGGAGCAGGTACGAGCTCCCAAGTCTCGACGCAGAGGCATGAACCGGATTTGAGCACTTTCGAGCAACCACCTCCGCTACCACCATCTCCTATAGCAGGTCTAGGAGGAAATCAAATATCAATGGGTGAGTACGCGCCTTACTCGTCCATTAGTTTTGTTTGATATTTGGCTAAAAGCCTAGAAACGTTATTAGTTTTGTTATCTCGATTGGTGAGGGGTTCTCGTTGTGCTAATTTATGAGCCTACCAATGTCCGTAGAGTGAGCGAGTAAAACCGTTTAAGTAAAACAAAACGCAGCACTTTTTTTCACTAAGCCGCGTAAAGCTCGACATAGCTTGGCGCAGCGTGTCCGTTAGCTCTTCGCTGGGCAACCTGATTCTTTACATTTATCCATAGAGCTAGGTGACCTTCTTTGTTTATATTAAGTTATCTATCTTTAGCCTCATTTTTCATCTCCTGTCTTTTTCCAGTGTTCATTCGTATATCTCTCTATTTCGCTGTCTATTTTTTTTTCACTTTTAACTTTTAAAGTTTCTTTTCCTTTCTGTGTTTGTCTCCCTTTCAATTTTTGGCGCGCTTACTCTTTTTATCTTTTTTATTTATTTGTATGTTTTTTTCTCTGATTTTCTCTCCTCTCTTTCTTTCATTCTTTTCTCTTTTACATTTCGTTCTACATTGCTCATATAAGATGTTTTGCTCTGCACACTCGTCGTTCTGTGCTCTTAACCCTTGACTCACTTTTCATGCGATACCATAAAAAGCTGCATTATGTTGCGTCAACATGCCCGGATAGCCCAGTGGGGACGACGCTCGCCTTCAGGACGTGGGTACTTTGGTTTGATTTTCACCGCCTTATGAGGAACGTGCATTTGCCATCCAAAACACTGTCATTTCATAGTGCTTTCTGTTTCTCTCCTGCTGTTTCTTTCTTTCTTTCTGCTCCGACAGAAATATCTGTTTCCTTTTTGCGTCCACTTTGCTACACCCAGGAAAACTCACGCATGTGTTCTGGAAGCTAATAAGGTGATTTAGGTGACGAAGTAGAAAACAAAAATATCGTGTCGGCTAATGATTTGACTTTCTCTAATTTTGCTTTCTTTGGCCCAGCATTTACATTTTATTTGTAATATACAGTGTGGACCTTTGTAGGTTTGAGCCAACTTTTTTAGACGACTTAACATAACAAGACAGTGTGTGCTGCGCTGGAGCAGCTTCACTGCTAATCAAATGAATTCACTTGGTCTTCTGACAGACCACTTAGATTTCCGAGATACCGGTAGGAACATCCATGCTGTCAAACTCTTCGTTTGTATGCCGCACAACGTTTTCTTCAGTGGATTGTAAGGTAACACAGTCCATCAAGAATGCATAGCCATATGAATAGTTTCATCAGAAATGCAATTAAATACACAGATTGTCTTCAGTAATTGCTCCGTGCTCGTCACTTGATACGTCATCTGCGCAGTGAAAGAACTGCGCGACTAACTTCGTCGCTGAAGTTCGAGTTGCTGCTGGCACCTAGGTATATCCTTATAGGGCACGTCACAAAAATTAGGAGTGTGCACTGCTCAGCCTGTGACGACAACAAAAACCACGCTGCTTAACAAAAAAGCTGCAAAAAAAGGACAGTGATTACCACACAGTTTTTCACAGTCTATTCAATAAACAGTTAGGCCATGAGCATCATAAGGAACAATATTCGTTTTCTTTAAACTCCTGTAGGTTCGATATGATGTATTTGAAACAAATTAAAGTGGACCAAAAAATGACCCTTTTTATAAGAGGGATCCGAGTCAACGACTTTCGAATTATTTCTGTTCAAAAATTTATGTTTAGAAATATAATAATATATCTGTGCTACTTTTATTCTCACTATGCATTTATTCTCACCAATATTCTCACCATTATTCTCACCATGCATTCATTCTCACCATTTCATTCAGCCCGGAGTAGTAAATAAAACTATTGAATCACCCACGCTGAAAAATAGGTCTATCAATGAAAAATAGGTCTATCAAATGCAACATTTTCGTCGCCAAATCATGTTTTTTTGTACAACAGGAAAACCCCCGCCAATTGGTGCACCGAGCATCTCACACACTACCAGCCAGGGATCAAGTCCTTCTGCACCAGTTAGGCCTGGACAGGTGTCGCCAGGCTCCAGCATAGTCCTCAGCTCAGAGCTTGAAATCGTTGGAGCAGGAACGGGTGAGTGATACCACAAATACTCTATTTTTGTGTAATTAGTGGTGTACGAATAGTAAAATTTCACGTAAAGCCAAATTTCAATCCAATAGTGGCAATATTAGCCATGAATATTGGTTATACAATTAAATGTCTATGTCAAAGATAATAATGAAGATTAAGAAAACGACCAGTTTAAACCTGCTCATGTCTTCGGGCAGATAACTTGGTGATAGATTTCGGCTCAAAAATTACAAACTGTCATGCAGAAGCAGGAGCTGTTCTACATGACCTCATTTCAGACTTTCTTATAGTGTTGTTACGGAGTTTCCTCCAGTTGACAACACGTGCTCACTGGGTAGATCTACAGCCCAAATTCAGAGGAGGAAGGAGGAGGAAGAAAGTTTAGGCGGAAAGACAGGGAGGTTAGCCAGTTCTTAGACCGGCTGGCTACCCTGTGCTGGGGAAAGGGGTGAGGGGAATGACAGATGTTAAAAAGAAATGCTGCGAAGAGAAGGAGAAATTACAAAAAAAAAACCTGCGACAGAGGAAAGGCAACATCAAAGAGTATAAGACACTAAAGTCTGTCTCTGAGGCCAGTTGTCCGCAAAAAGCGCAGCAAAGCTTTCAAAGCCTTCTGGGCTGAGGATGGGCTTGGCCAATGACCCAGAATCCTTTGTTCCGACAAAGGCCGATTGTCTAGTCTATCCAGAGCTGCAGTGAGTTCTTGTCTTTGCACGTTGAAATAGGTGCACTCACACAGAAGGTGCGCGATGGTTTCTTCGCAACTGCAGTAAGTGCATGTAGGAGAGCTGGCCATCCCGATGAGATAAGAGTA